AGTGTCAGTGTAACCCTTCGCTTCTCTCTAAAGTGAATAATAAAAAGCTGAGTTAGTCTTCTAAAAGGTCCATAAAAATATATTATTTTATTGTTTTAAACCAGCTGTCCTCTGCTTTACCTTTTGTTCTCTGGAGGTGGACCATTTTGTTGTATTGACTCACTTATTTCTTGCCTAACTTTGTTACATATTACAGGAATTTGTTGAACCCTTCAACGTCCTTCAAAGCTAATACTGCACTAGACTGTTGTCTTTATTTTGCTGTTAACCTTGTTGATCTTTAGGCTAAGGAATTGGCTATGACGGCTACCTTGCAAAGGTTAGTCACAACCAGACTGAACACTAGTATGGGCTCCAAAAGAGGTGAGCGTGGTTGCTTAACAGTTTAGTTTTGGTTTTAATCCGATCGATCTTTGCCGACTTGAACTTTATCATACACATATTACTGACCCACACAGCTTTTTCTCTGTGTTTTTTTAAATTCTGTAGAGTTCTTCAGAATAGGGAATATCTTAGGAGGCATTATTTAAAGACATTAATAATTCCCTTATCCTGAGCCTCCTTTCTGAATTTACAGTTTGTTTACTAATTTTCATCTTCACTTTATTAAGCCTATTTCTAAACGAGCAGAAATCTGCATGAGATCCAAACTTAGTGTTACACCTGTGTGCATTTCTGTTACTCACATTTCATCCAGATGCTTCCTTCATCCTAGGAAAATACAAAGGAATCTATTGTTGAGAGACTTTGTAGACTCCATATGCGCTAATAAAGGTTTTGAGGGGTTTGGAAAATATGCAGCGTTTGGGGTTTAAGATTCAGGAATCTGAATTGCATTAACAAACTTCCTAGTCATACTTGTTTAAGTTTCTTTTCATAGCTGCTGATACTGGTAGTCCATAGGAATAATTCCTGCGGTTTAGTTGGAGGGAGATTTTAAGATTAATTTAGGACAAAGGTGAGTATGGGGAGAGAGAAATTACAGTAATATTTATTTTACTGCCTTTTTTTTCATGGATTTAGCACATTTTCCACTGAGATAGATACAAACTATTTACAAAACAGTTGCTAAATAAATCTCCCAGTGAGACATGGGTGAAACTCTATAGTGCTAATGTTTCCATTCACATCAGTGAGGTGTGTGGTGTGCTGGCCATCTGTTACATAAACCTGAATAGGATCTGAAATCCTTACACCAAAGACCTGATTTTTTTATGCCGTTGCTTTTATGGAGGTGTGCCATAAAAACAGCCATGTGCTGGCAACCTGTGCAACTGGGCCCCTTTAAATCTGTGTAAAAGTGATGACATTTCAAGCACCTCAGCATCTCTTAAAATTAAAACAGATAATTGCATTAAGGTCTGTGTGTTGAAGAGATTATACTCTTGCTTAGAGTTTGTTTTTCCCCCCTCCCCATCTGCAATATCCCTGATGGGGTCCACAGCTGTGAGAGTAACCGTGTGCGCGACTGACTGCCTCACGATTGGCAAGCCAACTGGAAGGAACACCGAGACCCACAAGGATTGCTGGACCCGGAGGGCTTTTAGCTTGTGAGAACAACGAGCTAATTAAAGTCTAAATAAACGGAATGTCCTTCTAGCTGAAGCAAAGATAAATAAAGAAATGCCTGTGTGTTGTTCCAGAGGACTGAATAAAGACGAAAATATTTGTGTCATGTTTACCTAGTAACGTCTCTTTAATTGTGACGGGGGTCCATCAGCTGACTTGGTGCATATATGCAAATGTACAGTTCCTGATTTCTTTTTAACCTGTTGTTTTAACAACAGGAGGGCTTCAGCAAAGGTAATAAAAAGTATGTGTTTTCTTAATTTTTTTCAATTCGATTAAAAATTTTAAAGTTTAAAGTTTCAAAAATCTCAGTATGTATTTTTAGCAAATGTCGTCTTAGCTACTGTTTCCTTGTCGCTGGTGAGCTCTGCTTCTGCTCACACACTGGTGCCTTGCACACAGGTCTCGCTGAAGGGGCTGTATGCTTTGTTTGCAGACAGTATATGCTACTAATGCATCACTTTTGTTCTTCTTCAGTTGTGAATATCATCTCAGCCTTCCCATCCTTACGTAGTGTCAACAAGAAAAGAAATAGGGGCACTTAAAAAATTGATCTCCTATTGATGTTTTATGTACTTCAAATTTTCTGTGGGCAACTTTTTTTTCAGTTTGTTTAACTGAACCTAACTCAATACATATGTAGGGAGCTATACCTAAGACAGATATTTAGGAGTGAATGTAATTTCAGACTATTTTTATTTAAAGAGAAGTACTTGCTGAAGCGCTTTGCTGAAACAGGCCCTTGAAAGAGTCTAATTTTTGAAGGACTGAGCAGTCACAGTTCTCAGCTAAACCTCCTCTTGAGGATCCTGGAGAAATTAGGTTCCCAAATAGAAATCCGAGTCTCTCTAGGCACCCATTCTGAGAAGATGTGGCCACCGAGTTGGGTCTCAATTGTCACGTCTCCCATTCTCACAAATGAGAACAATGGGTGCGAGACTCCATCAAGAGACTGTCAGACTGCTAAAGAAAGCTGCAGCCGTGTGTAGTCAGCAGTCTTGACCTAACATCTGCTGAAAAGTGTTATCTCACTGTTTAAAATGCAAAAAACTGAACAAATTAGTTGTTTGATAAGCTATTGAAAATCTAGCACTAACCTTTTTGTGTTATACCCCTTAAATGTTGTAAAGATTCTTTCCTGATTGTATATGTAACAACTATTAAACTCATTTAAATTGTAATTCCTTTAAGAAAATACTGTGGAGTGGGAAAATAAGTAAGAAATTGGATGCCTGGTCGAGGGAAACAAACAGACACAGCAGAATGAGTGGAGAAAACATGTTTTTCTGCTTATTTTACGAGCAGGAGTGTAAAGGAAACAATTCTCTCATTACATGTGTATAAATATAGGCTTTGAGAGTGACTTCTCCAGCCATGAGAACTCCTAGCATTTTCCCGTTACCTTGATCCTCATCTGCTCATTTGTTCAAAAATGAACCAGAGGTAAGTTTTTACAGAGATGTCCTGCAGAGTTTAGCACATACATAAACACATCCTAATCATGAAACAAGGGCAGCAATATCTTAGCAAGCTGCATAAGATCAGTCAGTACTCACTTCTGTTGTCAAGAGGCAGCAGAAGTAGTCCAGAAACTGATTAATGCAATTTTTAATTCTGGTCAAACCTCAGAAGAAATTCTTGGATACATGAAAAGAATGAGCTGGGGTTGATTAAAAGAAAAAAAGGGCAAAGAATCTCTTGGTAGATGTGATGTGCAAGCTCTCAGGATTATTTAGTGAAAAATAGGCCAAGTTCAGCCTTTGTCTAAATCATCTGACCTTAATCTACTGTGGGAGAAATTAAAAGTTAGTCTGTTCAAATGAACTCAGCATACTGGCCAGCTTTTAACTCTGCTGACTGCCTTCTCCCTGGCTCTGTACTCTGCAAAAATCCCAACTGCTGCATGGTTACTTATGCTTGCTCCAGTCATCGGCTGAGCTCTGCAGTGGCAGAGGAGGGAGATCATTCCAAAGCAGCTGTATTAAACCTGTAAAGTGGATGGGCACCCTGGCTGTGAGCATCTACGTACTTTGCAAACACAGATAAGGAACTGATAGTGTTAGTTGCATGCAGTACAGCCTCAGTTTATGTAATATGTAGATCGAAGGAGGTAATTAAATACTGCAGCACTTTGTAACTTTTCAGCATGGGAATTATGTGAACCTGAGGAAATTCTCAGTTTTGCTGTAAGTTTAAAGGGCCACTGTTACATTTGTAGCTTCTTCTGGTTTCCTCTGAAGATGGGAGAATCCTGAAGATGTGTTTGTATAATCGTTATGCAGCACAGGATAAAAATTTTGGGTGAAATCCAGTCCATCTCACATGTCTGTGTAGTTTCATCCATCTAGGTACGTGATGAAGCAGTCTTCCTAAAGTACATGCCTAGAGTCCATACGTAACTGATGGACATCAATAGATGCTTCGGAAGTCTTCCCTAGCAAGATCCTGCCTGCTGTACTTCTGGCATCCAGGCTGGGTGGCTACGAGTCTCTTTCTGGAGACTATAGAGATGCCATCCTCCCCCCCATTAACTGTATAGCCAAACGTAGACATTTGCGGTACAGGTGCTTAAAACCAAGTACAGGCTCATGCCTCAAGTGAGCTGTACTCAATCAAAGAGGAAATAGCCTCAAATTACGCCAGGGGAGGTTTAGATCAGATATTAGGAAAAATGTCTTTACTGAGACAGTGGTCAAGCATTGTAACAGGCTGCCCAGGGAGGTGGTGGAGTCACCATCACTGAAGGTGTTCAAAAAACGAGTGGACGTGGCACTTCACTATGTGGCTTAGTGGGCATGGTGGTGTTGGGCTGATGGTTGGACTTGCTGATCTTAAAGGTCTTTTCCAACCTTAATGATTCTGTGACTGTGAAATGCTTTTCCAGAAAAGCAGATGTTATTCACCCTGACATTTTATTTTCTCCATACAATACCATAATGATTTCTCCCTTCTAGAACACAGCTGGGTAGGATTTCACCAGAGGGAGGTTTGCAAAAGTGAGGAATTCCACCCATAACAAAGCCAATTTCAGTACAAAGACATTTATACTTCCAGTGCCTGCGGGGTTAACGGTGTCGCTGAGAAAAGAGTCTCCTGCCTGCAGAGGGCACACAGCTCCTCAGTTTGCCCCCCCAAAATGTGTGTGGGATAGGGAGAAACAAATGGACCATAATGGACCGTACGTACATGTGCGTTGCTGCACATTGCTGCACGTGATGGATAAGGGATATTTCCATGGTACCAAAAGCGTAATTTCAGTGGAAAAAACGGACTTTTCCCAAGCATCCACAATATCCCGGCACCAAAGTAAATTGATACTTTACATGGGGAACACTGAAGCCCCTCCGGGCCGTGTTCCCAGCAGGAACGTGCTGCGGGTACTCGTGCTCTGTAAAAATCATCTGTTTTCATTTGTGTCTCTCCATTTCCAGAGCTCCCAACACAGTGGCTCCTCTACCTCATTAGCATCCACCAAAGTTTGCAGCTCTATGGATGAAAACGATGGACCTGCAGAAGGTAACATTTGAAGGCTGACATTTCAAAGCAGTCAGTGTAGGGATAACAGCAGCTGTGTAGGAAATGAGTCATTCTTCCTGCCGGAGAAGGTGGGAGCGTTGCGGGCTGGATGACTCTCCGTGAGGAGGCTTGTCAGTCTTAGCAAACCAGTTAGGTTCCTTCCGGATCAGATTTGATCTGGGCATCCTCATTCAAAGGTGTGTTTGCTGCAGGATTCTCTAGATATTAGTTCTGCAGGCGAGGCAGTGCTGACGGGATTATTTCACTGATTTTTTGTCTCGTCTGGCATGGTACTAAAGAACACTCTGCAGGCCTGGGTCTTTACTCAGAAATGATTAGTCTCACCCTGTACTAAGGTGTTGAGCAAGTTGGCTGAAGGATAGTGCCTGCTCCGGTACCGCCGGTTCACACACACATACACGTAAGTGGGTGTATGCTCGTGTCTGACAGCAACTCCTCACGCTGCCTGTGAACTCAGGCAAACCCCAGCCTCCTTGTGCCATAACATTCACTTTTAATACTGAACTGGAACAAAGGACAGGTAAAGATACAGTTAAAAGCGCTGTCTTAAAGAGTGTAAATTCAAGTCACATTTTTGAGAGGCATTTTTTTTACGTTACGATATTTATATAGTAGTTTGTATCAGCTGCAGTTTGCAGTCAGCTTTTAGAGGCATGTTAGGTATTTGTAACACGTTATTTCAAATACATTTAAAAATAATGGTACATGAATGAGCACTAAAACACATGAAACTACAAACTTTTCTTATGCTTAGACACTGTGTAATGCAATTTTACCTAAACATCTGGTGCCCAGGTTGCATGTGAGGTAGTATTATTGAGAACATTTGTTTAAAAACTAAATATTTAATATTGGGGGAGGGGGAGAACTAGCACTTAGCACATGAGGAGTTTTATGGATGTCTCAGTTTACAGGATGTAATAAAATAAGTGCTTGAGTGTTGGACTTCTTTGGTACATATATTTAATCATGCTGTGTCAAGGAGTTCCAACCCTTTTTGGAGGTTGGTCTGCGCTTGTGCAGATCACAGAGGCCTTTTCATAATTAAAAAAATACAATTTTGGTTTTGTCCTGGGAGCATATTGCAATGGGAATGGTAAAGTATGTAACACTCGAATGGTGGTATGTTTAAGCCCCAGAAGTCTTATTTTTCATTATTGTATCTGTGTGAAACCTGTTGAGTATATACAATGTCAGCAGCATGGTTTCATTGTACAGTAAGTGAGATACTGACTCTGAATGGTTTCCAGGCTCCTAAACCATAGACTTAAAATGCATGTTATGTGCAACATCTGTGTTTCCTTCACTAACAATAAAAATGTACTAATGATTCTTTCAGAAGTGTTGGAGGAAGGTTTCCAGGTTCCAGCATCGATAGCAGAGCGATATAAAGTTGGAAGGACTATAGGAGATGGAAATTTTGCTATTGTGAAGGAGTGTATAGAAAGGTGAGGAGGATAATATGCTTATTACTGTAAAAATAATCATTAATGTCATGCTTATTCTAGATCGTGTCTTTATTTGTAGAATATAGGACACGTAATAAGGTAATGTCTCAATGCCAGATGGAAAAACTAGACTAATGCCCTCTCATATGAAAAAAAGAGTGAGTCCAAAGGACAATCTATAAATTTAATTCTTTGTGGGTTTTATATGGGTTTTTTCTGCTGCACTCTTCATGATTTTGCCGGTTCTTTGTGTTAAATCTTTCTTGTTGCACTGAAATAACATCTTTCCTTGCGGTATATTCTTGCAACTCTCCCTTTAGATTAGACCAATGAAACATTTCACATGTAGGACCATTCTGTAAAGATGTCAGTTTTGTGTGTGCAGTGTAGTGGTGGTGGTCAGCACAAAAAGCTGACTTCGGATCCATCTATTCTGCCATCTGACACTGAGGAAGAACCTCTTCCATGTTTATCTTTAATTAAATGGGCATCTATCTCCTGTTTGCCTGCTTTGTGCCATTATATGAGCTCCATCCAACTTCAGGAGCCTGCACTTCAGACATCAAAACCTAACTTCTTCAGTGCCCTTTACTGTTACAAGGTGAGAACAGTCACACTTAAAGACTGATCTGAGACATCCACTCGAGGTTAGAGAAGTCACAAGTCACCTCAAACGTCCGTGTTGCTGAAAGTGTCCAGGTTAACTAGCTCAGGTGCTGGTTTCTAAATCTGGTCAAGCAGGTCATGAACCAGGTTTGAGCCGGCTCTACCCAATGTTAAGAGTGTGAAAAATGGGGAACAAAGACAGAAATGCTCTGAGCAGAACTGTGAGTGCCTTTTGGTGGTATTATTAAAAATAGGAGAATATGGGATAAAGAAGACAGAAGGTACCTGTATGTGAAATGATTGTAAGATTGCTCATGTTAGATAGTAGCATCTTGGAGAAGGCAAAAAACTGCCATGATAGAGATGTTCAAAAGAACGAACAACAGAGATGTCAAGGTCTGATAACGAAATTCCACAAGTGAAGTTTACATCTCCTGTTACCATGTCCTAGAGAGGGGACTTTTACAGAAGACTGTAATCTCACTTTTGGGCTTAAAGAAAGAACTTTTGCTCTTTAGCCTGTAAGAATGTGATAATTAACCCTACAGAGTAAGTCAAGATTAGATCTCGTGGCAGATGATGATAAATTAACTTGGCTGGTTTTAAACTAGTCTCTTTGGAAAAAGACAGGTCCCACTTTGCATCTGAAAGAGTCTGGCAAGTTGGAGACCATGGAGACAGCTGTTGGGGAAAGGGGGAAGAGTGGATTTTCTATCAGCTGACAGTGTGCTTATGTGACTTGGCCAAAGCTCTTGTGAGGCCTTTAGAGCTCTGTCAGAGTGAGTTCATGGCGGAGCTGGTCATGTGGAGGGCAACGGCTGTTCAGATCAAACCCCAAGGTCCGAACACTAAACTGGGGAATATGGAAATCTAAAGGAACCAAAGCAAAACACTATGAAAACAAGAAAGCACTGTAAAACCCTATGGAGGGGGCATGACTGATGAAAAAGATAGGTGAAAACATATAACTAAGAAAAGAGAAAAAGACAAGCTAAAAGTAAAGTGAGTAGTGACTGAAAGAAACTGATTACAAGGCAAAATAAAAAAGGTTGAGGTTTTGGTACACTGTCATTCAACTGAAAATTCTAGTTGTGCTGAGAGACGGTTCAAATGTGCTAGTGTGCATTTTACAATTCTTCCTCAAGCTGAGAGAAGAGACATGAACAAAATTAAATATAGGTCCCACCACACCTAAAAATAATGCTGATTACAATATCCTTGAGAGCTTAAATGAGAACTGTTTCCTGTCCTCTTGTCTATCCTCCTGGTCCCAGAAGTATCCAATAACACGATGTATCTAGTGAATATGCGCTCAAATGGCATGATTACTCAGGTATTCCCGGATACATACTCTTATGATCTCTGAGCCATACCATTCCATAGTTCCCATATATATCAGAGAGTTACTACTTTGATAGAGCTTGAAAATTAAAGTAGAATTGTTTCTGTTGGTTTCTACTTCTAAAGCAGTATACCCTTGCCATTACAAGTGTGGAAGGAGAAATTAAAGGCTCAAAGGGTAAATTAAAGCCAGTACATGTAGAACCCCTTCAAAAACATTCTTCACAGTCTTTCTAAGCAGAAAACACCTCACTTCAAAGTCTGATATGTCCATCATTTGCAGAGCCAGAATTGATGGGGTGATACTTGGGACAGAGGACTTTTCCACTTTCGTCTGATGTACAATTCCTGTGTGCATTAGACTTCAAAGAAATAGTGCCATGAGGTGTTAAGCAAGTAGGAATGGGTCTTGTTACACATCTTCACTGATCACATGGATACTTCTTCATAGCTGTGGAGACCAGCCCATGTGCATTGGTTAGCCACTCTGACGCTTGAAATGCATTCACAGGCATTTTCCTCTGGCAACGAACAGTCCAAATAAATAGAAACCAAAACCGTCTTCAAAATTTGCATGTGGGGACTTCTAAATCCCATTCTGTGCATCTGTGAACGCACAGGCACACACACACAAATACATTTAATGCACACACAAAAATAATGAAGACGATAGATTTTTGTCTCCAGTGCAGTGGAAATCACGTGAACTTTGCAAAAAGTTCAGACAGCCAGGGAGCGTGGCATGGAGCCCTGTGGTGGACTAGAGGTCTAACTCCATGCCCTGCATTAGCGCTGTGGGTCCAGACTTTTATCCAGCCATAACGTGTTTCCTACTTCGTGTGGCACCTTTTTATTGTTTGAGTTGAGTGAGAGGTGACATGCCCATTTCACTGCGAGTTTCTGGCACGGCTGTGCGTATTTTTTGGCGGGTGTGTAAGTTGCAGTGCTGCTGACAGCCTGTGGTTCTGCAGCTTTTTAGGGGAAAGGATTTGCATTATCTTAGCTTTAATTTTCTTTTTACCAAAACAAAGAGCAGTCAGAGTTGTCATCTGCTTGTTACATATCTGCTCCATCGTATGCGCAATTTGTCCTGTGGTGTTTTTATATGGGTTCATTTTTAACTTTCAGATACTTCCAGATTCTGACATTTCCTCACTAGCTCAGATTTCCCAGTGTTTTGGAGTACATGGAGTCTCCCATGGCCAACAAAAACCATCAATTTCCTTTCTCATGACAGAAGGGAAGCATTCCTAGGGCAACCAAGCAGCTTGAAAGAGACTCCTACTGAAGGAGGGCATATTTTGTCTGAGTTTGAACCCCAGATATCTTAATTTCTAATATTCCTTCCCCTACCTCCTCCTTCCGTTCCCCAGAAATAGTGTCCATTACTCTGCTTGTTCCCTCACTGAGCTGGGACTGTAGCCGTCAAACAGCAGCACCTGGAAGGGGCACCCCACGTGGAGTGTGGCCCATTTCTGGGGGCTGTAGCATTAAACCCCTTTGTGGGGGAGTACAGATATGAGAAATATTTAGTTTTTCTTTGCTTAAGCCTTGAACAGCCACGCTGTACTTTTTTCCCAAGTCATAAATGTCATCATCCAGTGTGATTTCTTTGCACAGTCTTTTAATTGATACCTTAATGCAGACTTTCTTTGCTCCTTGCTGATCTAGGAACTCAAACAGAATTAATATTTTGGTGGGTTTTTTTCTTTTTATTGAAGTGCTCATTTTCCCTTAAATGAATACCTAGTGGTTCATCACTGCCCGAGGAGGTCTCCATGCTTAAATATGGCAATGAAAATGCACGGTCATTTTCCTAATGCAGTGCTTTCAGTTTATGATTCACTTGGGGTCCTACTCGACAGAGTATGCAGGTCCTACTTGACAGACTGTGCACACTTTTAGGCATGTCCATTTCTCTATTTAACTTATTATATATCAATTTAATATCTATTTCAATATTTTTTGCTAAATGAAGAATGAAAAAAAATCACCCCATATGCTTGAGAGGTTTTTTTTATTATTTTTTAACTAAACATATGCCTAAGGGCAATGTATTACACTTTTGTAAATGCTTTATATTTTTATTATAAAACATTTCAGTAAGAGCTTTTTCTTATATTATCCATTCTCCATTTAACCTTATAGTGAAAATAGAGCCTGTGAACAGAGCTTCTTGGTATCATCCTTTCAGCCAACTTACAGTTTTGTAACTTGGTTAAGAAATAGAAGTGAATATAGTGAATTTGTCTACAAACTTAATTTCCTATGTTAGCATTCTACATATTAAATATCTATGTATATGGTAGTGATAAATATTATATGGTTTCCAAAAAAAAAACCACCTAAAAGGAAATGTGTTCTCATCCTCCACTAAATCTGTATAATTTCTTACTGTCTCAAGAACCTTTCATATTTGGTCCCATAAACATCATATTTAACTCTGTTAGGTATCATATACATACTGAATACATAAAACATTATTCCAAAGACTGACTTTTTATCTTAGCAGTTGCAAGTGCTAAGATAAAACAAATGACTCTTCATTTTAAGTAAGAAAATAAATGTATTTTCCATGGCTTATATTTTATTGTTTAATAGAAGACAAAACTTCTTGGTTTTGAGATTTGGATCTTTAAATACTATATAATATTTTTACATAAAACTGCAGAAGAAATAACAAATACTGCATGAATGAAAAAAATCAAGTGATTTTGTTTCAAAAACATTGAAATATCTTCCTTTTTTTATAAAATGCTTAATGATTTTTTTCTCAGACACACATATTTGATAAATGTGGCACAAGCTCACAATTCCAGACAGATGCAAGCTTCATTTCTTGACAAAACAAATTCTTGAATAGAATTCTTGCCCAGACCTACTGTGCTCAAATGACAAATATAAACTCAACTGAGAAAAATATTCAATGTGATTGAACATACTTTTTTTTTCTTTTCTCTTTCCTCAGATCAACTGGTAGAGAATATGCACTGAAAATAATCAAAAAAAGTAAATGTAGAGGAAAAGTAAGTACAAAAAATTGAATGAGACCAAAAGATACATATTTTCTTTTCAAGAAACATTTTGTGAGAGATCACTTTGGGAAGCTGTTGGTATTTGTCTTCCTCCTGGCAAGTGTTAGAGTATTTTTGGTTTAAGCCTTTGCCTGCCCTTGGAAGGGGCACTTTATATCACTATAAAGGGCTGAAATGTGCCTTTCTAGATGCGTGTGTTGATTCTCCAGTTGGTCGGTTGTGTGTGGGTACGCTCACTCCCCTTGCTCTTTACCCCTGTAATTATGTCCTCTGGCTTTCATAATCCCAGATGCTATAGAAAAAAGAAAAATGGTACTAATAATTATAAAAACACTGGCCGCCATGTCAAAACGATATGCAAGGTTAATCAAATTGTTGTCAGTTTTATAGCAAGTGTACTTCTGTTAGCTTTTGAAATCTGTCACAATAGGTTCTCTGAGAAGATGCTATCATATTTTTAGGTGGAAAGATTCTGCACTGGAGAAAAGATTTTAGAAGATTCCAAGTTTAACATTTCTCTGCATGAGAAACGTGTCTTTCCTCCACTTCTTTTTCTATGATGTTCTACACTCTTTTCTTCTTTCAGTTATCACACTGATGTTGTTTCTAAATGTGTTCCTTCCGCATTGCTGGAGGCAACATCTGTTATCCTTTTCAAAAAACACAAGAAGGATCCATGCAGGTCCCAATTCTTTCTGCATTTTCCACTGTACAGTGGAGGTGAAAGTTTTTCCCACTAACCCATAGTCATTAAAGATTTCTTTTGTGTGTCAGGAACACATGATCCAGAACGAGGTATCTATTTTAAGACGAGTCAAGCATCCCAATATTGTACTTCTGATTGAGGAGATGGACATGCCAACTGAGTTGTACCTTGTCATGGAACTTGTAAAGGTGAGTATTTCAGAGACAAGCTGCTTATTAAGAATTGTTTCAATCATATTGAGAAATTTCATTGGTACTAAACTTACTAAAAATCATGGAATCACAGGATAATTTAGAACGGAAGAGATCTCTGAAGGCAGTCTTGTCCAGCACCCTACTGAAAGGTGTGTAACTCACTGTCAGATTTTTTTTTATAGCTTTCAAATATTTCAAATATTTGTGTAACTTTCTGTAAGCCACATTCATAAGTGCTCTGTGGACAGTACTTTGGAGATTCGCCCAAAAGAAGTCTCTCTAAAAAGTTTTATCTCAAAGAAATGCATCTGCCTTGAGGCGAATTTAAAATAAATCCAGTCTGAATAGCGGTAAATACCAGCCTTCAAAATCCAATATTCTTTGATAAAATAGTTTAATTAAATTTTATTAGTTTATATTAAATGTAAACTATTGCCTGTTGTTTTCTCTTGATTTATATTAACACATTGTCAGGCTTGCCTCCTTGATAATAAGTTTAAACTGGAGGGAAGGGGGAAGTGCAAGAGAAACACCTGCTATTTAAAGCATGGTTCTATTCTGAAAAGTAAGTTTGTGAATGCAGTATTTTATATTTGGGACCCTATTCATTTCTTCATAGTAACTTCCAGACTACATGCATTTATTTCATGCGCTGCTGGAATTACATATTCAAACTGGATTATGATACTCAGACCAGGTCATCTCTTGCCCCCGTACTGTCAACAGTGCAGTGCAAGAAGTATGAATTTAGCTCTTGGATCCGGTACTCAGACACAAGTATGTCACTGGGCATAAAAGGTGGTAAAAATACATTTGATTAAATTGTACAAATTGGGACAGAAAACCACTGAGGACATCTGGTCCTCCATACTTACTTTAACAGAATACACCTGTTTTTCACATTCACTAATGGGATTAACAATTCTCCTTCCTTCCTCAACTGTTCTGTGGGAAGGAGAACTTTCCAGCAGCCATCTCCAGTTCTGTATCTTGATCAGCATGTTCTTCTGGGGCAGCCTATCATGCCTACACCTGGGAAATCCACAGTTTTAAGTGTTTAAGGACAAAGATTATAATAAAGCTGTGCAGCAGCAACATTTGTGTGCAAACCTGTTGTATGTGCATGCTCAACACCTGTGAGCAAATCAGACAGTCTGAATGCTGGCAGCCAGATCACTTCCACTTATCTTGAATTAGAAGTGTGGTCATCTTCGGTAGACATCCTCTGTATCTGTGGTCAGAAACAGGCACCACCAGAGGATGTGAGAGAAAGCAATTTTGTCAAGCAAGATTGTTACCTGCTTTGCTGTGGTTGTAGGTGGAGATTAGGGGATGCTCTTAGTGTAGGCACCTCATTGAGCTGTTAGATAGGGTGATCCCACGTCCAGGTGTTTCTTAAAGAACTTCTCAATCTCTGGGCTGGAATACAAGAGCAAGGAGAATGAAAAGTTTTTTGGTTTGCTCCATTATCCCCTGTGCTCTGTGACAGCAGCGGTGACACAAGCCAGGTTCCCAGTGCAGAGCCAGGAGGCTGTCAACAGTGGCCCGTGGATGGCCATGGATTTTTCCCTATCCTTGTGGCAGACTGGGACAGCCTTGTTATCCATGAGAAGCTCAGGCCATGCCCCACACCTTAGGAGATGGTAACATTGTCCTCAAATTTGAGTCTGCCCGATGCCTTACTTGGCTTGAGTGGTGCTGTGGAGCTTATGGCCCAACTAACCCCGCTGTCCACCACCTCCAAACTCTGAGGAAGCACACTGGGGCATGCTGGTGGCAAGGAGCTGCCAGGGTACACAGCATCCCCGTTTAGTCTCTGATGGAGAGGTTGAATACTAAGAAAAAAGCAAAATACTGGCACTCTTCCACACCACGAATCCCTCTGTGTAACCAGTCCCAGAAGAATTTCCCCACCTTCTTCACAGCCACAGCCCTCTCTCGCACTCAGGAGTGCAATGTGAAATAGCACAGCTTCAGATCAGATGCCATTAGCCATCTAACACTATTTTTATCATAATTACCACTCTTTTCTAGGATAAGTGAACTCACTCTGAGATCCATGTTACTGTAGGTTTTTCCTGGTGTCCATGAGAGCTTGTTCAAAGGTACCTCCATACTCTTGCACAGCGCAGTAATCCAATGTAGCCGCAGCTTCAGCCTGCATTGACAAATCCTTCATCTTGGCCCCATGAGGTGTGCTAAGAAGTAAAAGCTGTGCCTTGTCTAACGTGCCAAGACGTAAGCACATAGCTGGTTTTATGGGTGCAACCTGCTGTGCTATTCATGCTTGAAAAATGTTCAAACTGTAGTCTCCAGTGGATTTTTAACCAAAGTCCTACTCAGCTGAATAAGAGAGGAGGGGACCGAAAACTCTTACAAAATAAAAGATGTGTATAAAGAAAACCAGCCATTATATTAACTTTCTGGGAAAATCTGGGGTTTTGCAGTCTTTCTTCTTCACTTTTCAGGATTGCTGCATGTACCAAGATATTTATGCTTTTAGTTACGCTATAGAAGGGCTTTATAAAGATCTTTGTAGTTCAGATATCCTAAAGAGCACTATTATAATGTTATTTATTTTATGTGGACTAGTAGAAGAAATTTAGAAGAAATATGCTAATTCTGAGAAGCTTACTTTGTTTCTTTGAAACAAACATCTATTCCTTAGTATTTAATTGGTAAAAAAAAGCCTTGTTATACTCTTATGGGCACCGGGGAAGGTATTTCTGGAAAGACATTAATTGTTAATTCACCAATTGCTGACTGTTACCATTTCATAGCATGCACTGTTAGAATTGATTAACCATCTGTTAGCGACTGACTTTTGAAGACCTGACTTTAAATCAAACTCACAGACAGGAAAGAAATTCAAGGAGAAAAGGCTTGATAGTGCAGAGCACGGTTTCAGTTAATACCACCCTGCATTAATTGGCAGTAACATGTTTGACATAAGTGGCTGCTGCAAGTGCTGCCCTCACCTCATGGCAGATAGGCCATTCATTGCTTTGTAAAGTGTAAGAAAAAGCACTTCATAAATACAAATATAAACACATTGCAAGTGGTGCTTGTAAAAGGAAGCAAGGACCTGGTTTCTGGCACGTTGCCTTTTTACACAGCGAAACAAAATTGTTATTCAAACCTAACAGGGGTTTGGCCAATTTAACGAGCAAGATTTATTGCAGAGTTTCCTTTACTGCTCCAGGATATGATTTCACTTTTGTAGAAGAAAAGAGAGATTATATCATTTACATAACAAGGTAATAAATAAATAATTGGTTACTGTACTTCCAAGTATACTTCCTCAGTGCACAGATGATAAAAACTGTATTCAGATGTTACTGCTCCCATTTCACTCCAGAACAGGGGATTTAAGACTGAAATGTCATCCTGAATTCACCCCTTCTGCCTGAATAAATGATAGTGACCTGCTGTGTGAATTGGCTAAGCAGAACCTTGCAGGTTAAAGTGCTCTTCAGGGAAAGGGAAGTCTGAAAATAATTCTGCCTGATATAGCTGTCAGCTCTGTTAACTCTTTGCAGGACATCGTCTCTTTTAAGTGCAGAGAATCCCACAGACTAAATATATGCTCTCTTTTCTTACCAGGCTACCTGGTAAGAGACTTTATGAGTAAAGGAAGCTGCTTAACTGGAGAAAATGATGCTGCTTCAGATTGGCTTGACCATCTGTCAACGTGCTCTGCAGCCTCTGTATTATTCTGAGTTCGGGTTTCTGTTGCGCATGAATATTTGCTCTTCTGACTTTAGGCCAAAATTTTCCCTTCTCTTTTTAAGGTTCAACTTCTTTCCTTTTCACCCCTCACATCTCAGCCTGGACTGTTTTCTTTGTTTGGAGGCAGATCTTTTTCTGATGTTATTGACACTTCTCCTGAGCATCTGGAACGTATTTGATAAGACCAAAGATCTGTCTAATCCACTACCTCATGTTAAAAAGCAGCTGGTACAGGGGCTTCACAGGAAGGAGCTTAGGGAAGATAGATTATTTATCCCACGTATTTTGCCACATGCTGATACCTAATACGTAGGGATCAGTTGATGCCATGAAGTACACGGTATTGTACTTTTGCCAAATATTTGGCCTTTCTCTCTAATCCTTTATCTGGTTTAGTTTGGCCTTTTCTTCCTCCTTTTCCTTGACACTATGTATCTTGATGTATCTTGATCAGTCACCAGCCAGAGAAGAGGTTTTGATGTGGTCCAGATTTGACAATGGTTGGCTGCAAGCAGTTTCCAAGGCTGGGGTTTTGCATCTACAGTGGGAATAAATCTGCCCTGGCAGACTTCAGCTGCACCTCAACAATGCAAAAATGTTAATAGTTTGTTTGGGCTTTTTTAACAAGTAATGTCTGTTTTCTCAGGGTTGAGTCTTTGGTGATTGTCTTTTCCCACCTCTTTCTCTGTAGCCATGATTCCTGGAAAAATTTTTTTTTTTTATTCTTCCCCCTCCTCCTTTCTCTTAGTGAAAACAGTGTTTACTGGAGCTGAGCCTTAAAAAAAACCCCACCAAATAACTTGAGAACGTTGATAAAATCCTGAGAGTTGGCAAAGCTAGCATTCCTCTGTTGCCTTCAGAAAATACCTACTTTTTCTTTAAAATACAGTCTCCTGTGATTTTTTTCGTTGATGTTTTGACTGCAGCAGGGATTTTTTGTATTGTTTTTGCAGAATTATCATTTCCCTCCTCTTTTTTTTTTGGTCTGTGTTTCCTTTATGGTGCTGCTTTGATTTTGGCTGAAGGCCCAACACCTCTGAGTAGTGTCTCTCAAAAGATGTTTGTTTTTTCCTCCACTCTGTCAAGCTTCCCCCTTAATCTCTCCTTTAAACTTATTTTTTGGTCTTTCTCCAAGCACTTACATGTTCTTCTTCCCACTTGCCAGCTCAGCTCTGGAAATACAGTCCAAATGTCGTGACTTCCTCAGATCCTGAAGAAGATCATTGCAACTTTGAGGACTTCCACTTAATTTTCCTTCTTTTCTTTCTTTCTCTCTTATTTTCTTATTTTTCCTTTCACTAACAGTAGCTTTTAGCTGAATTAGACAACACGATGAGCTAGAAACGGGAATTAGACAACACGATGAGCTAGAAACGGGACAAGTTGCCACCTGTGTTTGTAGCTGTGGTGAAATACTAATGTTAATTCTTAAGTCTCTTTCAGTATGATTTTCTGACATATATGCTGGGAAGTTATTCGGTATAACTGCAAGAAGAGCATCACACTACCAAAAACTTCACATCTTGAGTAGAGAAATTAGTTTCTGAAATACATAAAGTTTTATGAGATGGAAACAGACTTTTAAAATACTCTAGCAGAGGTGACAGGTAGCTGGTTTGAGTTTTACTGAGAATTTCTTCATTTTTCTGGAGTTCAGCCAGACTTTGGGCAAAAACATGATGTCAACCTGTTTCTGATTATAATAGGGTGGCAAGGGTTGATATGTGGCATTGTGACAGGCAAGTATGTAGGCATGCCAGAAATTAGCAACAGGGGCTCTGAACACGCAGGTTGGCAAGTGCTGGACATGTTTCAAAAGCAGCAGCAGGTGGGAACCGTTTGCAGTGGAGACTCCGGCCTCTTGGCTGACCAACTAAACCATGACAAATGGTTCAGAATTACCTATATGTTCAGCTGCCATTATGGGGGATGTCATCACAGTACCCAAAGTTTATATCTGCAAGGAAACTGTACTGCTCCTCCCTCCTCCTCCTCCTCTATAAATGATGCTCCTTGATCTTCCCAAAATTTTTCAGTTATTTCACAAGCAGTGTTGCTCATATGCCATGGTCATTTTGCTCCAGGGAGGAGATCTTTTTGATGCTATTACTTCCACCAACAAATATACAGAGCGGGATGCCAGTGGGATGCTTTACAATCTGGCCAGTGCCATCAAGTATCTCCACAGCCTGAACATTGTCCACAGAGATATCAAGCCGGAGAACCTACTGGTAAGTGAAAATTCAGCTTTCAGTATTGTTAAAAACTTGGGAGTGTGTCAGAGAAAGTCTGTGCTTCTTCCTCCCTCCACACGCCCCCCCCCAAGTTTATTTCAGCCTTTTTAGTCATTGGTCTTTTAAGTTTAACCTTAACATTGTAAAGCTCTCCTAAGAACAACAGCTATCACAAAAAGTACAGTCACATCAGCTGTTACCTATTTCTAGGCAGTTGCCCAGGACACAGCAACAGAGTTGTGCCAGTGATCACTAGAAGTGACCTTGCAGTGAGCTGCAGTATAATTTCAACCTTCTCATAAATACAGAGGTGTTCTGTCCTCAATAGACCATTCTGTACTTCTGCAGCTGCTTCAGTAATTAGCAGCAGTTCAGTTTTACAAACACGGTGTGTATAAGTGTTGTGCCCTGCTCGTGTGGTACATCAGAGCAGAACCAGGAAGAGGCTTCAGAGTCCTTCCTCGCCCTGCTGCATCTCCCAAATAATCCCACAGCACCTTTTATTAATACACTTTACTAAAAAGAATGAATCTTCCTTTTCCTGACTGAATCCGTATGAGCCCTACCCACTGAAGGGATGGTATGGAATGAAAAACATACCCTGGCAATTAGTCCTTCTTCTGAGAATTTTGCACTCTTGAATGCAGCCATTGTGTTCTCCAACTGGCATAGTTTTATTTCTGCTGAGAAATTAATTTCTCCTGATTATTTCACCGTTCTCTGAGTTATTCTGAATTTGCTGACATGTCCCAGTATCAAGATGTCCCAATTATCCATATATTCTGCAGCCATAAAACAATGTATAAGATACCTAAAATATCAGTTCTCTCGGCTGTGTGCTCTCTGCCATGACTTAGTGCATTTACTCCTGCTTGACACAGAAGAGGTTTTATGGGGAAGTTGACTGAAGATCTTACTAAACTTCCAGGGAGTGGAATTTTTGCAGTTGAGGTTCCTCTAGTGGCAGGTGCCTTTATAGTTCTGGGTGAGGAAGTTGCCTGCCCTCATTTTCCAGAAACTGCTAAAAACGTGTCAGGTAGAAGTTTCCCTGGACACTAACAGTTGACACTCCTTTACAGCCCTTGTGCTGGTGTTCATAGGTGGCTCCCTGCAGAAGTTATAGCAATCACATGCCAGGATTAATTAATGCTGTGACTTGGAGGGTGGAGGAGGGCCTTGATGTGGGGCAAGGCTTGCCCTGCCGCTGTCTTGACCTGTCTCTAAAAGCCCAAAGTCTCACAGTTGTAGGGTTAAGTTTTGGGGGAAGAGAGAAAAGTAGGCAGGAGGTGGGGGCAACAGAGAGAGGATTAGATTTACCTGCCCAGCGGTCTCTGGTAATTGCTCACCACCAGGAATGATCACACTGTTGGCATTGTAGCTGAATTGTTTCTGAGTGATTTTTCCGGTGTTGCACATATATAAGGGTCCTACATTGATATTGATACTGAGCAGAGAGGAGGCAGCACTTAACCTCTTGCAGCATCCTAACCCTCAAAAGCCGGCATTTGATTCACAAATTATATTAATTCTCAAAGGTTTATCAGGTCCTTAAAAGAAATGACCACTGTTTTAGAAGAGTGCTTTGGAACCAGACTTACCCGCATTCTGACCCTGTCTCTGATGTTGGCTATCTGTGGCCTTAGTGTCTCTTGACCTTTCACTTTTATCTTGTTATCTGTCAAATGGGATGGGTAGGTCCCTGTATCACAAGACTGCAATTAGGGTTATTTTCATGGCATTTATAAAACACTCACAAAATGCCATATGGGTCTTAGCCTTTCTGTTGCTGAAGGCCTTCTACTTGCCTTCTGTAGCCTACCTTTTGCTTGCAGCTCTGTAACCCTTCACCTAAGTGGTCATGGCAGTATTTTTCCCTTGTTCTTATGCTGTTGCTTGCATATCGTGACTGTCGTGGTTTTGCACCTGCAAACCCCAGTAGTATTGTTACCGCAGGTTCTCCTAGCCACTGGTGTGAGAATCTGCCCTTTTCCTACCCATGGGTTGTAGCTTTAGGTTTAGGGGAGCCTTTAACAGGCCTGCCCAAAGCAAAGCAGCTAACTGGGGAGCAGCATCTGCCCCGATCAATACGCGCCCCGGTGCTAACAGCCCCATTAGCAGGAAAAAGAGGGAGCACGAGCAAGGCCTGAAAAAGCTATAGAGTTACTATAGGAAAAATATGGGGCATGAAGGGGAACATGCTGCTCTGGAGAGGGCACCCAGAGGAGGATGCTCATCTGGAGCCTCCTTATTGCATCTCTTCCTGGCTCCTGGGAGAACTTTCCCTTTCGCCTCCCTCTTTGTCTCCTTTGGTTTTTCCTTTTCCCCAAAAGTATCTTTCACACTTAGAGCTGACGTGTGCTGTCAGCTATAGACCCTGCTGATAAATCTTTGTGAGTGTGAACCTGTCTCAACGTCCTATGTGCACCACCAGTAATTTCTGTAAGTGCTTAACTATTCCTTATCACCCTCAAGGCATGCAAAGCCCACCTAACAGTCAGATGGGTAATGCTGAGTACCTGTGATTTTTCAGCAATTTTTTTGTTCTCTAGAGAGTGTCTTCCATGTTTTGATTGGAACATTTTTCATAATTGCTGCTATTTAGCACGTTTATTTTGTCAAGTCATGGGATGTCTTTATAGCCATATAATAAACCCTAGAGAACAACTTTGACTGTTGCCATCTGCACTGATCACAAGAGCAGCTTAGAAAATACTGACAGTCTTTATAGTAATAGGATACATATGGTGGCACACAATTATGTGTGGCTGCATTCAATTAGTGTTGTACAATTACACAGTTTTATTGCTTAGTTAAAACAGTGAAAGCACTACATAGTAGGTAATTTGCACTAATCCCCATTTCTTTAATTGCCCTTCAATATTTAAATGCAATGGAACACATACAGCGTTTGTTCTGAATAACATGAACATTAAATTATCTTTCACATTCCTTGACTGGCAAGTAACATACCACAGCTTCAGATTGGGCTCCTTTTTATATGGAGTTACAACAGGGTGAGGAAAAGTTACTTTCTTCAGTTTTACAAGTCAACTGAAGTAGTTTTCCAAGAAAAGTAATTCCTGGAAACAGATGGGGCAAAATACTAGAAAATGCACAGTACCAAACCTTCTGCATTGGTAAATATTGCCAAACAAGCCTCTTCCATAATTAATTTCCAAGGTACAGGAGACATAGAAGGTGTGGTCGGTTGAAGGAGGGAATTTATGAACATTCACTAGGCTAACACAACTCAGAGAGGGCTTTGTAAAAGATAACTGCATGAAATAGAATATGAGATGCTAATTAAACTGGATTCAGCTCGATGTCTAAGTGCACACTTTACATTTTTCAGCAAGTGGATATTTAAAGCTGTAGTCTCTTGCCTTTAATTAAAACTGTTGTTGAAATTAGATTTATTACTGCCATTTCAGAGAGCACTTTCTTTAGTTTCAGGAACCAGATGTATTTAACAATCTATGTTTTTAATAAAACCATAATTGCTTTTTTTCCAGTGCATTTCTATAAGCCTATCTTTTTTTCTGGCTTAGTAGCAGAGAACTGTGAATCTATACCAAATTGCTGGTCCTTCTAAAGATCCAGCTGTATTATTAAAAAGAAAATAAGGAAAGGAGAAGAATTCTGTGCATTCTGAATGTCTGCTTGTGGCTGTATCACCTGGTAGCAGGGATTCAGGACAGAGAGGGATTTTCTCTCTATAGACATGACTAACGTTCACAAAGGAGAAACTTGGGAAGGCTGTATAATACAAGTAATTATTATGAGCTGTAGCAGATCTGTAGCAAACAGCAGCAAGAGACTTCAGGATCTCATTTTTGCACCAAGCGAATTCTTCAAGGGCCCGTTGTTGAATTTATTGCATTTTTGTAAGAAAAAAATATAGGCTTTTCCTCTGCAGGCAGTGTAGATAACTGTGATTTGTCATGTAGGAGTAGCTGGTAAAGTTGGGTATTAAGGATGATTTTGGTTTTGGTTGTGAAGTATGATATCTTCTATTTTACACAGTGTTACTGCTAATGGTTGTCAGGATATCACTGTTGGTGAGCCAGGCTGCATGGAGTTTTGATTTGGGTTACAAAATAACAGTGTGATGCATATATACTTTAAGAAGACCTCCTCTAGACTGTTTCCATTTTTTAAGGTGTTGTTAGAGTAAACTACATTAAATCACATCATAAACAATTTCAAAATAGGGAACAAGAACCCAAACCAGCATCTGGATTAAAGACAGACTCACAGTCTAGTGTTTAATGTAGTTTTTTTTGTTTTAAGCATTATTTGTATGTTTTCAGTGTTTACAGGTTTGGGGTTGTTCTTTTGCATTGAGCCGGCTTTTAAAATTATGTGTTTTTAACTGATGTTTCTGGCTTTTTTCTTGTGACTATATCTTAATCTCCCTTTGCACCCATAAAAACCCATGAAAGTTCTTGTTGCTGCTGTGAAGACCATGTTTTAAGACAGAATTTTCATGTATACTCATTAACTACCCTACCTATGTCCATTGATGATGATGATAAGATACCATTAAGACACTGATTGGTGTTTAACAGTCATCCAAGGAGAGGACAGTGTTTCTAGGTGAAACAGTCCAGCCGGGTTTGTATGTCATGACTTCAATACACAGAGAAGAATCTGTTGGTGCAATCAGTACAGTCACTGTTGTATTATCGAAGAAGATGAAATTCCCGTGCAAGCCTTTAAGCTCTGTGCGAGTAAAATAAATAAACTCAAAAACCTTACACTGTGAATTGGCTGGCAGGGGGAATTTAATCTCAGAACATCACTGCTGGACCTTTTGCTTCTGGACTTTAGCTTCTAGCAAGTACTATGTCTTTGGTTTGCCAGGTAGCAAGGTAAGACCTTCCCAAACACCCGGAGTGCATTCAAGGGAAGTTGGCCAAATTCTCTGTGAATTTTCAAAGCATGCAGAGAAGTATATTGTAGGTAAGGAGGAGAAAAAAGATTGTAAATTAGAAGGAACATTTCAGTCAGTTAGTAAATGATACAGTAGTTACCTTGATGGTACTGTGTTAAACCTTTGAATTTTCCTCCTGATTTAGGTTTATGAACACCAAGATGGAAGCAAGTCCCTGAAACTAGGAGACTTTGGCCTAGCAACAATTGTGGATGGACCCCTATATACTGTTTGTGGGACCCCAACATATGTAGCTCCAGAAATCATCGCTGAAACTGGGTAAATCACTTCTATTCATGATTCATTGATGTGTACCCAGTGGAGCATGTTCTCACCCATGTGCCAGATAGGAGTTCTTGCAGTTGAGATTTTTATGCTGCCTTTACTTGGCTATGATGCAGAATCATAGCTCATAGAACAATTAAGTTGGAGGGGACCTCTGGAGGCTATCTTGTCCAAACCAGCTCAGAGCAGGGCCAACTTTGGTGTGATATTATGTTCCTCTACCAGTTTTTGGCCTCAAACTTCGCAGCTTAACACTGAGTTAAAAATTAGCCATTTGCTGATACAATAAAAGTAATTCTTAAGCTGTTCCTAGAGAATGTTAACTACCATTCACTTAATTTTATTTTGTTATCATACACTGTCATCTTCCTCTGATTTGTTCCACAGAGTAAATGCCTGCTGTCTTGAGCAGGCTTCACGCTGGTAGGCATCACTGTCTAACTCAAGAATACGGCACAACATCTTGTACGCACTCCTACATTCTGATCTGATGTAGTTTTAAGATGCAAATGTAAAAAAGATTTGAAAGTGGAATTAGGATAGGTAGATAGGACATAGAGAAAGTTCAGATGAGGATATATAAGAAATTATTAATAATTCTGAAAATGTTTCCTCTATTCTTGTGCTACAGTTCATAGCAGTCGGATGCCTCTAACCATGTCTCTCATACTTCTAGATACGGCTTGAAGGTGGACATCTGGGCAGCGGGTGTGATTACTTACATCCTGCTCTGTGGTTTCCCTCCGTTTCGTGGGTATGGACTGATCTATTCAACCATCCTTGTTCTGTGAATTGGTCCCTGTTCTGCTTTTGCATTAAGCACAGAGATTCACACTGGAAAAAGTTCTCTGCTCTTAGGGTTTGTTTTTTCCCATGCTCTGCACAGTATTTTACACAAACCCCATAAATGTCTGTGATTTTACTGTAAAATCTCTGTCTCACGTTTGTTTATTTTAGTTTAAACTTCATTGCATTACAAAACAAGAGCCTCCATTACGGGTTCTGGGTGCCTTTGCCTGATGTTTAAAATACACAGTGAAATAAGCATCTTCTTTCATGGACCAAATACAACATATTTTGTGGTCGGTAAAAGGTAATTAAAATGTAAGCTACTTAATAAGGACATCAGATCTTTTCTCCCCCTCAAAACAATTGCAAAGTTGTTGACAATCCTAAAAAGAAGCAGGTTGCCTCAGAAAGAATGTACCAAATGATGGTCTCACCATTCACGCCCATGGTTGCATGCTTGGGGGGAATTGACAGTTTCCAAAAGCATTCTAAGGGATTGCCAATTGAAGGCAATTTCAAGAAGCCTGTTGAAACCAGCTCTGGAGATAATTTCTTTGTGGGTTTTGTTGTTGTTTTTGTTTGATTTTTACTTCACAGAAGTGGAGATGACCAAGAAGTGCTTTTTGATCAGATTTTGATGGGACAGGTGGATTTTCCATCTCCGTATTGGGACAACGTTTCTGACTCTGCAAAGGTGGGTTTATAGAGTTGATGATACCTTCTTCTCCAATGTTATTCCAAGTGCCAGTATCTAATGAATGTTGTTCTTTCACGGTGCTGTATTTGACATGTTTCATACATCTCCTGCTTCACTTATAATTCCTCTGGGTCACCGAGTACGTTGTTGTTTTATCACTGTCTGTCTGTTAGACTCCAGGTGGTTCTGAAAGGGACCCCGTCTTTATATGATGTCTCACACACCAGAGTCACCAGCAGCCCTTACCGATCAAGAAAAATTTTAAGTAACTTTGCTTGACCTACACTTCTTAGCTGGAATGCTCCCTGGGACTGTGCTTTGTATGTACTTTTGATGGGGACCAGGTACCAACCTGAAGCCTTTGAATAGTATATAATAATATTATAGGGAGGCTGTTTTCCCTTTATTAATCCCATTAGTTCATATGTCTGTTGTTTCTTTCTGTCAAAGAGCCAGGCCTTGCATTGCCGGTGACCCCTAACTGTTGTCAGACTTCTTCTGTCCACCAGTTCATGGGCTGTGACCTCTTGGCACACGACACAAGAAGTAGAGCTTGAGGTGTGCTAAGGCAGATAGATACAATACTTTTCAGATACAGATCCTGACAGAGTTCATTATACTTGCAGAGCAGATCAAATTTTTTAACTCCAATTAGTGCATGGGAGCAACAGCTTAACTCGCAGACTTTCTAGGGGTCTGGCATTCACTATAGTCATGTGTATAAATATAGAGAGAGAACGAGATAATACACATGTGTATGTAAAAAAAAAAGCCAAAACCATAAAACTATTCCTATGGTCATCCTGTAGATAAGTGCTTAAGTTCTGCCTGTTTACTGCTATAGCCTGTAAGGTAAATCCAGGCAAAACTGTCTTCCTGTTTCTTTCAGTGTGACAGTGTTTAATTAATCACAAAAAAAAAACCAAAATTTGGAGGTGGATCATAGATTCATAGAATCATAGAATCATAGATGCACGTAATGAAAGTAGCATTCTATGTTCCGAATCTCCGTTCTTTGGAGAGTTAGATCCTACTTTTACAGATATGTGGAGGGTGATCAGGACTAGTGTTTTAGCTTGTTAACTAATGAGGTTAACGAATGAGATACAGTCAGAGAGTTGGAAGATGTCCTCTAAACCACGTCATTGTATTGTAGCAGGATTTATTTCGTTGCGCCATTAATGAGAGCTCTGCAAGTCCTTTGCCAACGGTGTCTACCAGATAGTTCAGTCTATCAGTCAAATATCTGTTTTGAAGCGTTAGCCTATTCATTTAACTTCCTGACACTAAGAATTATTAACTTTGGTCTTTGGTGATACCCCTTTATTTGCTGTCATACTGTCATCCTTTCTGTGCACTCTACTCACTGGTGGAATTAGATATAAGTTTATTTACATGCTAGTTGAAAACTAGGGAATTGCAGAGGAAACCAGAGGATGAAAAATAATGTTTTAAAGTGGTTTTTTTAACACCTCCTGTGTCATTTATACAAGAGCTTAAAGTAAACGTCCAAATTTGCTGGCTTTTTTCCTGCAGAGGAATTAGCTTTTTCTTAATGGGAAGCTAACCTAATTTCACGTGACCATCTGTTTTGTACATTAGCTATTAAGTGCTCTTCTCTTAAACAGTGGCTGCAGAACTGTAATTCAGCACTGTCTTCTAGATTTTCAAGGTACTGTTAGATATTTATTTAAAAGTTCAGCTTGAAGTTCAGCAGTTCATAGTTGTTCTTTTTTTTAATAATCTTAATATATTTCTGCAGTTAGTAGTTCACTCTTATCTTTGAGCACTCCTACATAATCAGTTGAAGAGCACTTTAGTGAATTAAATGCTGATTTGTTCTTTAAAAATGTTCTTTATATTTGACCCGGTATTCCATTTCTCAGGAACTTATCACAATGATGCTTCAAGTAGATGTAGATCTACGATTCTCAGCCTTGCAAGTTCTTGAGCATCCATGGGTTAATGTAAGTGTTTTCAAGCTCGTAGATGCTGCTTGTAATTTGGCACCTTTGAACTCTTTTCTGTCAAGTCTTTTCTATGCCCTTTTGGAGCCAACACATTCTAAAAATGCCACAGATTTAACTGGAAATAAGCTGGGTTACAGGCTGGTTTAGTATATCACATGTACCTTGGAGTAGTCACTACTTTATGCATGCTCAGCTACATTTTCTCTGAAATATTTTGGGCCAGGTTTTCAACAAATCTCAACCACACTTGACAAATTTATACCTCTAACAATCAGCTTGTGGATTCAGTGACACATTTTGCTTTCCTAAAATCAGATGAACTTAAAAATCTGACAGTCATGATTAAGAGCTATTGAAATATAGTCCATAGTGTTAAGCCTACTTGATCCAGCATAAAACAGGGAAAACTTTAGAATCATATTTAGCTTCTGACATTGAAATATGCATATATTTATGTGCAGCCATATCCATTTAATCTGAGTTACCACGAAATAGCTATTTATGTATCCTGGCTTATCGGAGCGACTGGACATTTGCCATAAAAGTGGTAATCAGTGAGGTGGCATATGGATAAATCTGGCAGAGAATAAAGAGATTTCTCTTTAATTAATATTGAGACAAGGACACTACTTAATATTTGTTTATTATTTCAGACCATTTAATATGTCTTAAAATATTTGGATGACAAGAAAGAAAAATTGGAGAAAACCCAGCTTCAAATTCAGAAAGGAAGGTTGAGAAAAGAAATACAAATGGGACAAGAAGAGAAAAAAAAATTGAAGGAGGAAGAAAAAAATGTTTTGTTTTGTTTTGTTTTGTCTGTGGCAAGTTTGAGTGTGCAGACCTCCCTGGAACACTGTTTGGTCCCTCAGCTGCTGGATTCGAAATCTTTTTCTCACTAAAACACTATTCTAAAAATTCAAATATACAGTAACCTCAAATGTTAATCTTCTTTTATGAAGTGTCCTGCATATAGCCCAGAATAGTGGTCATCAGTTAAGTGTTTATCAAGTATATGCTTTAGTCTTGGAGGCTCTTTTATTGCCCCAATTATTTTTTTTTTAATTTTAAATGCTATTGTCATGCAGAGCACTTTTGTAGTGTACAAAGAGTGCAAGGAACCAGGACAATGTCTGATGAAAATCTTTTCATTTTTAAGATGACATTCAGGCAGCTGAAATATTAACTTTCCTTGGTGCCAGGTGCTGTCCTTGGACATAGTGTTCTGTCACAGTCTGTAATGACTTCTGGTGACTGGGATGTCTCTCTGTCTCCATGGGAGGAGGACGGGTGGGGATCTCTGGATTGCTGCTGAGGAAGAGATGGAAGTGACTGATCAGAAGCTACAGAGAGGCCAGATCACCTGCAGTGTCAGTCTGCACACTGCTGCTGAGGTTACTGAAACATCACTTGTTTACACCACATAAGGATGTGGTCACTAGTCTTCCTCTTTTTCTGAAAAGTACTTGGGAACTGTTAATAATGTCCCCCCGGACACCTTTTTTTTTTTTTTTTTTTTTTTTGGCTTCAGTTACACCACGATGTTTTTTAGGAAACTGTTTTAGCAAGATGTATTAAGAAGAAGAGGTGCAGCTCTTTGCCAGTAACTTGATGGTGATGGTGGGCAGGTGACATGCGAGTCTGCTCCCTGCCCTTGCTAGTGCCTGCTGATGGGGAGGAACAGGGCTGGGGGCTAAAGTCTTGTAACACTCCTGAGCTCCACTAACCAAACCTGCGCTCTGGTTACTGAAGGACCCTGGCACATTCCTGGGTTTCTGTGCAATAAGTCAATATGTGGAGCTCTTTGCCAGAGGATGCTGTAGAGGCCAAGTATAAATGGATTCAAAAGGGAGTTTGATACATTTTTGGAGGATGAGCCCATTGGCGCCTATTAAATGTGGTGGTCTGGATACAACTCTTGGCTCACAAAGTTCTTAAGTACTTGGTTGGCAGAAACTGGAGGGTATACCAGGGAAAATTCAAGATCTACTTGTCTTCCTTAAATGTACTATTTCATAAACAGTGACTACGATTCACTGTTGGAAACAGGACACTCTGTTCAGTTCACCTTTGGTCCAGCTCAGCTGCACTTCTCATAGTTTTGTGCTGATTATAATTCTCTGCAATCAAAACCTGTTGCAGTTCTGTCCATAAACAAGTGAAAGAAATACTCTGTGACAGTTCTGTAATTTCTTCTTTTCTGTCCAATTGCTGTTAGCAACTGAGACGAATCAGTATTTCGTCTTCAGCAATACCCTAACAGTAGTCCAGAACACAGATCAAAACCTCTTTTGAATTCTCTTATGTATCCTCCAGATATTTTTTCTGGAAGGAGAAAGGCCAGCACTGGGACCAGTTCAGGAAAATGCTTGATTGAGCACGTTCCAAACGTTGCTCCTATTTCAAGGCATTACACATGGAAACGCTTAATATCAGGCATAAAATTAACTAGATGGCACTAAAATCCTAGTTCACTTCAGGAGAAATAGGAACGTGGCTGAGTTGAAACAGGTGCTTAAATGCTTTGGTGAAAAAGGACCCTTCCCTGAAGTGGGTCTGAGAAGTACGCGGCAGCGTACCTGCTTCTGTACGGAGGCAGAGCGATACACTGGGGTCACATCCAGCCTCGCATCCCCATACCATCACCTGCTTGACCCGCTGCAAGTCTGTCACACAACCTCCCTCTACCTCATTTTTCCAGCTTCAGGACAGGGAATTAATATAATCATCCCTGTTTATAAAAAGGCTCCGTGTCATAATTACCTGAGCAATTATCTGCAACTTTTGTAAATACTGTCGTTCTGAGGAGAAATGGCACATGGAGTTTTCACCTAACATTCTGTTTTCCCACATAACCTGTTTACTTTTCTGTGGCATCAAATGCTGGACTTCACTTTCCCTTTTCTTATTTCTGTTTTGAACCTATTCATAGAGCGGTAAACTTGCAGCTAAAATACTGGATAGGACAGCTGCCTTGAAAAGCAGGCATGTGTTTCCTTTGGCAATTTTAAGAAACATTTTCTCTCTTTGATCAAACCTTTGATAGAAGTGTTCTAACTGCTTACACTGTATAAAACCATTTTGTAGATTGTAAATAACCATTCTACTTTATAGCTGCTTACTATATGATTACTTGGTAAATTGCTGAGATTCCTGGAATGTGCTTTGACAGTTTCAATAGGAGCCAACCCTCATTTCAGTTTCAGTTTTTGCTATAAAAATAGCTGGAATCCTCTTGGAAACTGCAAAACTTGTTATGGTCAGAGTCAGACCAGTAAAGCAGTTCCTATGTCAATAATATCCCAGCTGTTTTCAATTCAAAAAAACAAAACCTGAAAAGATGTTGGCTACGTGCCACTGCCACAGATGGAGATCTTGAATTCTAAATGCAATTCAGCAGCAGTTCCTTGCCCCCTCCATTTAGTTTATTTGGATTTGTCTCTCCTATGCAGTACTCTTAGACCTGGAAACAAATCCATCAGTTTATACTTCCCCCACAGGGACCCCAGCTCTTTCCTTTACCTGCTCAAATTCTTTGCAAAACCAAAGAATTGTAAAAGAGGCTGGAAGCTTGACGTCTGGTGTTTTAAACATTGATGATATTGATAACCTGAATTATACTATACAAGTTACAGGAAAAACCTACTCGCTTTTTGTTGTATAAGTAGTAAATATTTCCTCATACAGCATTGAGCAGTGAATGCTGAAACCCAGTGAGATGGGTTGCGTTCTGTAAATCCTCCGCTGCTAAAATAATGAATATAAAATGTGGTGTGTTGTTGCCGGAGGAGGGAGATGGCACGCACCAGCCTAAAGCTAATTGGGGAAACTGGAGCTTTTACATATTTCCTTGACCATGTCTGCCTTGGAAATTAAAGAAATTAATAACCAAGCAGCAAATAGTAATAAGCTGAACATTTGTAAGGAAGTTAATTAAAAAAGACATTTCTTATTTGGCAGCTGCACTACTTTTTGTTACATCCTAGGACATTGCCCAAAGAAAAATTTCCTTGTAATCCTTAAAGGAAACAGAGTCCAAAAGCTTTTCCAACACTTCTATTTGCTCTAATTTTCTGCTGTTATTTATACAATGACCTATTTATCTGATGCTTTTAGACCTGGAAAGTAAAGCTCTTGTGACAGGCTTGTGAAAAGGATCTGAGTGCTTTAGGGCAGTAAGAGTCTGGGAATCCTGAACTTTGTTCCACCTTTTTAACACTTCTTTTTCCTTTGATTGGCAATGTCTCCTGCCATAGACAACACTGCAAATATGAAATCAGTGTTTATTAATTACTTAAATGATGCCAAGACCCTCTGCCTCTTTTTTTTTTTTTTTTTTTGATTTCTCGCAAATAAACCAGGAAAGGATTTTGTGGAGGCTGATTAAAAAAAAAAAAACAACTATCTTAAGCTCCCAAGCAGTTTACAGTTACATTGTCCAGGTGAAAACTCAAATTCTGGACCAGAGTTTGCAAATCGTCAAACAATTTTGACTGCTCAACTTCTGAGACATGCTCAGGAGAACACTTCTTCAGCAGTCGACATTTTCTGAAACCCATGACCCTTTAAAGTTCCCAGAGTTGAGCACCAAAAATCACTAATCTTTAAAAGATCTTCTCCTGACTGCTAAAGCTAAGATGAAATTCTGTGATCCTAACCTGCTGCAAGAAGTAGTTCTTATAGGAAAGCGTTAAAATAAGGGAAAGGAACAGTTAACCTCTTTGGAGGTTGATATCCTTCCCATTACAGCAACCTGATGAAATTCTTGTCTGATTCTGGTGAATGTGATGGGGTTTCTTTCACTTCTTGCCTTTTTAAACTGCAGAGCAGCTTGTTTTGTACGTTAGTTAAACAGCTGTCATCTCTCACCCTCAATATCTATCTATTTTATTGTTGGCTGAAGTGATTCCAGGAGCCAGCTAATATATATTAGCTTATTTATAAAGCATGTTGGAATAGAAACCCCGATAACTACTAAGCATCAGGTAGCGCCAACAGTAGTAAGAAAATTTAGTAACGATAGAGTAATTCCCATATATCCCAATGCTGCATCTTAAATTGAGCTGGAAGATATTTCATCTAAAATCCGGAGCCCAAACTACGTGTCTCTGGTGCGTTGCCACTGGAACTGTGGGTGTGGTACTTCACCAATAAAATATTACCACAGTCTTGGTAACTATTGTCTTCTCCGTAATTTAGTCTTTTGACAAGACGACATGAATGCTTGGCAGGCTTTCATGTCAAGAAAGCCAAGAGAATGATTCCCCCGCCCCCCTTGGTGAAGAAGAGTTCGCTCTACAGACTAGCTTTCTTCTGGGAAAGGCAAGGTCAGCGGAAAGCAGGTTATTTTTAGGGGTCATATACCACCGAGCCAAGACTCCCCGGTGCTCGACGATAATCAGCTACTGGGTTGTATTGTTTTGTTTTGTGTTTTGCAGCTGTGTGCACTTGACCATATTTTGCCAGCTGAGACATTTTGTTAAGAGGTGAATGAGGGATCTCTAAACACAAACTCCCCAAGCTAAATAAATAACAAACCTTAACCAACCTCCCTAAAATTCCCATATGCTCACTGCACTCATGAGTTACTGCAGTGACTCTGTAACTCTTTAAGTGCACTCAGAATTGCTGCAAAGCCAGAAAAAAAGCGTCTGTAATGTCTCTGTATTCTGATCTTGTCTCTTGTTTGCACGTATTCTGCTAGGATGTCGCTTAAGTGGATTTTTAAGGACATTTTTCAACTGTTGATAGCTACACATACCATGCGGTACTAGCTTGGGATGACCACTGCAGATGGCCAGTGGCCTGATATACTGCATATTCTGCCTATTCTGCATTTTGTTGCCTGTTCCACCTATTGATCGTATTGTTGCCTGAAATCTTGCATATTCTGGTAGCAGGAAAGTCTCACTGAGCATTGACTTTTTGCACATTTTTTAGGCCTAAGGGCCTTATTTGCAATTTCTAAAAAACTCCTTTCTTCTCTTGGGCTCGAAATCCACCCTCTGTCTTGCGCAAAACTGCGAACTCCCTTCTTTCTGCTAGGGTTACTCTCCAGCGTCGAGGGTGCCCGCGTGCCTAGGTGCAAATAGATGGGTTTGCTCTGCCAAGCAGGATGTCTCAGCGGTTTGGAGGCATCTCCTGGCCCAGCTGAGCGGCTCTGGGCTGGAGATTGCGTACAGCTGCCTCACTTGATGCACATGACAGCAGAACATGTGTCTGCCTCTGCTTGGCCACGTAGTTGTGTGCCTGCTTTCACCTCAGGTTAGCTCAAGTTGGGAACACCTCTTTCCGCAAGGAAGAAGAGGCCACCAGGCCTCTTCTCCGCTTTCCCAGGCAGGCCATACCTCTGTCTGTCCTTTCTCCACCGCATCCCAGGCACGTGTGCCTTGGCACTGGGGGAAGTAATTGCAGTCCCTTGTTATCGGTCACTTGGAGTTTCCACTTGCAGAGGGGGCTTTGGTATGGTACAGTCATAGTCTGTGGGGAATGCAAGAGCAAGCCTTAAGACCACACCTAACCTGGCCTGCAGACGTATGCAATGATACATGCTGGTGTTGGTGAGGTCCCGCTCCCTCAGGCTTTTGGCGGGGGCATGTCTCAGCTCCCATCTTGCCTGGGTTTCCTCCCTGTGGGACTGAGCCATGGCTGGAATTTTCACCCAACCCCATAGTCCTCGAGTTTGTAACCTTTACAAGACGACAGAGACCTCACTGGTGTCTTACAGGGCGTTTGGAGATCCTTTCCTGCGTCCTACCAAAACGGGGCTTCTGGTTTCTGTAATCTCTTGGGGTCCTTCTACTTTTGAGGCCATTATCTTTAAATTTATGGGATGAGTAAACAGAATCATCAAGTCCAAGCTTATCAACTTTGAAATATTAATAGACCTAAAAATAACTGGGAAGTGGTAGGTAAGACGTAGTAGAAAGAATAATAAAATATTTTACAATTATTATTAATTAACATTACCTAACGTTTGAGAGGAAGATACTGGGTAAAGAAGAAGAGAGAGGCTGGTTCATGACATAATACGATGTTCATCTTATAAATACCTTAGATATATTAGTGGAGACAATGATTGACCTGTATTTCATTACAAAAATTTTTGTAAAGTTTTTTATATTGACAGGTGCTGTCAGAATCACCTTGCAATTCTTCTATTTCGCCTTTTCCCTCTGAAGTTTTATTTGGCTTTATTTCTCTGCAGGACGATGGCCTTCCAGAGAATGAACATCAGCTCTCAGTAGCTGGGAAGATAAAGAAGCATTTCAACACAGGCCCTAAACCGAACAGCACAGCAGCTGGAGTTTCTGTCATAGCAGTAAGCATCTGAAATACACAGCTGAAACACTTAAATATGTGCCCACAAGACAGTGTCTGTTTAGGACATGCCACCAAAAGAAACCGGAGAGGGTTAACCTTTACATAATTCAAGCGTTTGATTAATATAAACTTAGTTAGACTGGTGTTCTGCACAATTTCTCCGTTGATTCTCCTTGTGAGTCACATTGTTATTTAACAGCCCTAGGAGATCTAACAGTACCCACACTTCCACAGTTTACCAGCAGATCAGTGGACCTAAGTCCAATGTAGATTCAACCATTTGGCTGTGGGATCATGACATTTTACTTGGCAGCAGAATCATGACATGGATTGGGGCCACACAGAGGTTGTAGCAGGACAGCAGCACTTTACAGTGAGTGGAAATCACTTCAAAATTGTGGCAGAAAATCTGTATGGCAGCCTGAGCTTCTCTTCTCTGAAGACATCAGAGAGCTGTGATGCCTCACTGCTGCCTTCATAGTTGATACCAGTCTAGCCACTTCAAATTTAGCTGAGCAGCAGCATTTTATTGTACTGCCATGTGCAAGCTGCTTCTCTTTAGGCAGAAGGACTTAACTGGGGAAAGACTTAATGGAGCTCCTTGCTGCCTTCTGTCATGTTGCAATTCCAGTCTGGGCATTCCAGTTTAGAACATGTCGGAGCTTCTGAAACCAAGCTTGACCAAACTTTTGACCAAGCTTTCCCGAGGTTTCGATGGCATCCTCAGCGTAGAATACATTGCATACATTTGTATCGCACCCCCCCAGATGAACACGTGTATTAGATATACATGAGCACAGAATATATTCAGTGTTTTATGAGATTATTCATACTAATGCCATTGAATAGCAACATGCACATCCTTTACATTTTTGATACATCTGCCTGTGTTTGTAAGCTTTTCTTTATTACTCATGGTAATGTTAACGCTCCAAATAGTCACTAAAAACAAGTGACATGTTAAACATAACCATTCTCATATCAGATTACTCAGTGTTCATTCCCAGCTTCCATAAATTGCAGGTGGTGTGACTGCACATGTACACTTTCTTGTACTGTTTCCACTTTCATGTTTCTCAGCTCAGCCCCTCCAGTGGTGAGTTAAATCAGCATGAAGTAAACTCAGCTCAGCACACGCAATCTGGCTCACAGGTGTGAACTGTTTGTGCAGCAAACTGGATACTCTCTCAAAGTTACTTGGTATAAGTACTTAAAATCTCAAGCTGTGCCTCGCTCATATTTTTTCTTTACTCTTTCCAACCCTGAACGTCCTCTAACATGGAAGCAAGTTGTTCCTCATGCTTTTCCTAGGTTTTCTCAGTCATCAGCTAACATAGCCAGCATTTATTTATTTTCATTTTTAAGCAATAATACTGCAGCAACTCTCCCACAACTAAAACATCACATACCCATTGCTCATCTGAAATGCAGGTATGTTCTGTATAGACTAGCAGAAACCGTGTTCCTTTCGAATGGACTGCCAGCACGCTTGTCCATGAGAATTACTGCTCAGATCCTCCATGCTAATGACTTCAAAGCTTAAAAGCGAGAAATGATGCCTCTGTCCTCATCCATCCCTCACCTCCTTTAAGCTTTTAATTTCCCCACCCTCCTCTTTTTATTTCTTTGCCCCAGTTGCTCTGCCAAGGAACTGTTTACAGCAGTTTGACACTTGAGTAATGAAAAAGGCACTGTAGTGAATCTTTCCACTGCAAAACGTTATTCATCAGAAAAAAAAAATGTATATGTTTAATTATATTTTTAACGGCTTTTATTTATCTTTTAGTGTTTGAAAATTTAACAGATTATTTTTAGTGATCATCTCTATGGGTGAACATCATACTCTGGCACAATTAATCCTGCAAGTTCTATAAAGTAGAAATGTTTAGAATATTTTTACAGAATTCAGAAAGTGGTTTGATTAGCTTGTGTCAATTATTTTCGAAAAACTTGGAAGAAGTGGAGACGTATAGACATCTTTAGTATTTTGATAATGTTCCAGAAAGCCAGATAATTTTTATTTTAAAAATAAATTACCTTCTACAAAACTAATTTAATCAGTAAAATAAAACCAAAAGCAAAACAACAAAACCTTTAATTGTTGTTTCGGCATTTGAAAGCATACTTAATATACATTGGACATACGCATCATCAGGGTTTTACATTTGTACAATCTCAAATGTCACAGAAGTAATTCTTATTAATGAAGCCTGCTCTACATTTAGAATTTTCAAAGTATGTACAGATGCTGTAACATATTGTTCAGCACTAAAGATGTGCACTAAGTATATTTTCTACAAAAATACTGTTTTATTGTGCCTGCCTGTATGTTTACTGTAACTTTTTGAGAGAGTGCTTGTGTATATAATATATAGAGATGCCTTCTATATATCATATAACACGTCTGTGTATGTTTGTGAAAATTTGTTAATATGTGCTATATGTATATAGCTTACTTAATAGTATAAAAGGTAAATATTAGCATTATTTTGAATTTTATAACTCTGTTTGTGTACAGAGATAGCTAATCTGTGGTATTTAGTTATTAATTTATCCTCGCACTGGTGTGATATTATATGCCTGTTTTCTTCGGTGGTAAGAAGTAACACACCTCAAAGATCTCAAGCAATATTTATCATATGCACCAATTAAAAACTATAATATGAAAACTCACTTCCTAAAGATGTGTTTGTGGTCAGCTTGACTGGGAGGACGTTTGAAGCCATGTGCGTTTTACATACGTCTACTGTGGCTGCTGCTTCCTTCAGCAATGTTCAAACACATTGTATTGACTCCTTTGGTTCTGACTTACGTCTGCTTTGTGGTACGTGGTAATCCCCAGTAAAAGTTGTCTCTGACCATTCAGGGCAGAGACATCCTGCACGTTCTCGTGCATGTGTCCAGACTTCAAGTTCGTCCGCATTTGAAAGGATGTGTCAGTTTGGACAAACTACCACAATGCATGTGTTGTGCACGCTTAGCAAAGTAGTTCCTTTGCGGATGTAGCAGAAGATGATTCCTCAAACAAAATTAACTATAGAGGCAAAGAGACTTTTCTGTTGATACATTAATACATCATTAGAAGTTCTGCCAGCATAACTATGTCAGTTAGGAAAAAATTCCCTTAAACCAACACAGCTTTGCCAGCAAAATTTTAATTGGAGAGCTAGCTTTTAAAACAGCAAGAGAATTAACAAGTCCCTGAAAAACACTGCTTGCTGATGGCAGAGTATGTAGGATAAAGATCACTTTACTTGCCCTGTTCTTAAACTCTTGTCACAGGCATTGACTGTGGGTCTCTGTAGGAGTCAGGGGCTGGGCTAGTGCCCCTCCGGTCTGTGTCAGAATGGCCGTGGTACTATTAAGTGCCAAAATATTTGCAGGATCAGGTTTCTCATACAACTTCCAATAGGAACAGTATTTTGTAGTTCCATGATGGTGTTTATAAAAGATACTGCAGTAAAAACATAAAAACAGATTTTTACCAATTTTTTTTTTTTTTTTTAATTTTTGGCCGCAAATCAGTACCCCGTGGCTGTACACTCCGGGTGTTAGTGACAGGGTTTAAAGTGACCAAGAGCCAAAATAATTTTTTAAGAATGCTTCTGCGATCCAGAAGTGTGCTCTGGTTCTGTATATGAACTGAGCATCGTTTAATTTGTGTTCTTGTCTGAAGTGTTAAAGCTTTGCCTGTATGTTGTCACTTTGGTGCTTGTATTTTTGCCATTCTTAAGACAGAGAAAAAGACTAATGATAACGTTCTGTTAAGGTTGTATGAAGTCTCTTTCTTGGCAATGGGAGTAAACTCCAGATGGAGACTCACAGGGATCGAATAGGACAGCAAAAGAGAAAAGCTGCTCAGAAGGTTGATGCAGCTCCTCTGTCTCTTGACGAGTCCTCTCTGGGCTGGGGACACCGGCACCCGGCCGCTGCCTGCGGTCTGGCAAGGGAAGGCAGCGGATGGGTCATTATCCTGCGTTCTGCCGATTTTAAAAGAAAATTACAAATTCCAAGTGGCATTATTTTTAGCGGTGGAATTTCTTGGGTGGTGTGGAAAGAGAAGCCAAGTTTAGTCTGTGAGTTTTGCTCGGCTTAAAGATGAACCCGTGCCTCGGATGTCACTTCCCATCTATTGTCTGTGTTGTCCTGGGATCATTGTTCACAGTCGCGTTTCTCGTGGCAGGATCTCCACACCGGCAAAATGGTTTCAGCTCTCGTTGGGAAGCAGCTCTCCCGATTTCCTCTATATTTCTTTTTAGCTATTCGATTTTAGGACAATATTTTTGATCTGCTTTTTAAGGAAACAGCCCTTTTGTCTTTTATATGCAGCATACGAGGAAGCCAGTAGATGGCAATAGCAGACCAGTGTAGTTAAGCCAACAAAAAATTAACTCGAGGTACAAGGTTTTCACGATTTTAAACAGGAAACGTCCTTTAAATAATTCTAAATAAGATGAAAGCGGCATTGTTTTAACAAAATGGAATAAATTATTAAATTCTACACTTGCAGGGGAGTCATCAAGAAAAATTTAAATTTGCAGTTAGCTCCTAGCTACCCTTGAAGTAGTTGGTAACTAGAAATGTGTTGAACTGCTTTTCTGAATTTAGAATTAGAAACTGTCATCAGTATTGGAAATATATGCCACACTCTTATTGAAGCACAAAATGGCCTTTTCTCTTCATAGGGCAGAATGTGAAAATCATCACAACTAACAATTTTAAAGCGGGCAGAGTGTCTCATTCAAGATATTTTCCCCTAAAATTTTATTTAACTCACCTAAATGATGTCTCCACTGTCTGTTAGTGCAGCACAGAAGGGTTAGAGAAAACAAGACGTTTTCTTTGTTCCTATGCACACGATTCTGCTAATGATAAATTAAACGTAAAAGATCTATATTCCTTAAGTAATATCACCAGCACACTTTCCTGGACACAATGTTAAGTTCATTTCCATTTTGACTTTAATTGGTGCAATTTTAAACCGAATAGTTTTGTACTGTTATCTTTTTGAGCATGAGGTGTAAGCTGAAATGATAAACAGTGTTATTCATGGCTCTGAGTAGTCCTACTCTCCAAGGTTAACGCATTTTTAGAAATGAATTACCATGATTGATGGGGTATCAAAACCTGATTCTTTTCATCTTTACACATTCCATGATTATGAAGCAGTCTAATTTAAGCCTTGTGTAGTCTGTCTAGCCTGCTCCTTGTGATGGTTGCACTGCATTTTTTTTTTAAATTATTAAACCTCTCAGTTTAATTGCAAAAGATAATTCTCCATTACTGGTATGTGCAACTTAAAAGGGCACTTCTGTCTTTGGAGGTAACAAGATATTTCTCAGACTTTTAAATGCATGCATTATGCATTGAGTAACCTATTTCGCAAACTCCATTTTAGTTTGAATAAATTGGCTTCTAATTTAGCGAGACCGAATCTAGAGCTAGTATCTTTTTCTTTTATTTCTTGACTTTTTTTTTTTTTTTCTTTTTCGTCTCCGGTACTTAGCTTTAGGATGTTAGATAAGTGCCTTCTGAAAATGAAAACAGTAAATATGCACTAAATAAGGAACAGCTTGCTCTGGAGTCTGAATTCTTTAGCCTAATGTCGATCCACTGAGTTGCCCCGTTTCTCTCTGCTCAGCTGGACCACGGGTTTACCATCAAGAGATCAGGGTCTTTGGACTACTACCAACAACCAGGAATGTATTGGATAAGGTATGAGATGGTGCAGCGCCAACAGTCAGTGTTTCCATGGCAACGTGCTGGCAGTCTCCATTAACCAGTTCCTTCAGTGGATAAACATGCTTTTTGATTTGTTATCCGGTCCATATGCTGCTTTATCAGTTTCGTTTTAATCTTGATTGAGATGCCACACCCCCTCATTCCCTTTCTTCACCCATCCCTCACACCCACATCGCCAGCTTTCTCTTCATCGCACATGCTCAGTATCAACTTCCCCTATAGTTAAAAGGACAGTGTATATAGAAAATCTACTAGATATGCTGAAGTACGCACCCTCCCCCTCCCTATTGCTTGTTAAGGCATCTGCTTCCCCTGCGCTCCTGGTTTGAAACACACGGAGCAGCAACAGGCTCTCAGCATATATTTTTCTCTCTTTCCATGCGAGATGTGGAGCTATATACTGTCATTTTAAACCCACTAAACACAATCCTTACCTTAGATTGAACAATGCATTTACATAACGCGGTATATAGAAACTCTCCCAAGTTCAATGAAATACAATGCATTGTATATGCTGGTAAGCTTGTGTTTCTAACAATGCATTCCTTCTCTTTTCTTTTTAAAACCCTTCTGATACCTATTTATTTTGATTTGATTTTTTTAAATATTGCATGAGTCTTTTGAATATATTTTTCTTCATTGTGTAACTGTGCCAGGGTTGTCTTAGCTGGCTTAACCTGTATGATAAAATGGGGCTGTGGGCGGGAGGGGGTTATTCTGGAGTGGGAGCAAGGAGGGATCCAGGTCTGATAGCCCACACGAGGCCCGTGCACCTCCTCAATCAAGCCAGAGCCCTGGAATTTCCATCAAGCGGTTATTTGCTGGCTTTTTTCCTTCTTATTACTCACAAGACCTGCGTTTTGATAGCTGGAGAAATTTTTAGAAGTTGCTTGCGAAACCTGCGTTTTCTAACACTGCAGTGCTTGAAACCTTTAAAAACTCGTCTGTGAGGTATTTGGAAAAAATCAGCAAATTAACCGCATTAGCAAAATAACAGAGATGGTCACTGCAAGCATTTCCAGTAGAGTAAAACTCCAACCCTGGATCATTTCACTGAGCGCATGCATCTAACTACAGCACAGTTTCCATAAAACCGAGCAGTTCCACACACTGAGGGTTAAGTAGATTCTGATATGGATGTTCTGGGGAAAGAGAAGAACAAAAATAATCCTACTTTTCAGGCAAAACGTAGAAAAACAGTTCCCACCCATCAGCTGAACGCTGGCTAGCAAGAACTGAGAAACACTTCCACTGCGAGTGCTCGAGTGTGCAGCAGTACCGGTAACCCCAGCCCGTCGCGCTTGCGTTGGTGCCTATAACCCACCGCAACCTGCGAGGCCGTAGCGAAACCTGCTCGGTCTGTCTTGGCATCACCCTTCTCAGGTTCCAGCCCTGCAGCCCAGCCAACGCAGCACAGCCTCTGTGCCGCTTTGTTTTTTGAAGAATTGGGGAATGGGGTCTGAGTGCCCAGCCTTAGCTCAGTGTGGGTTTGATAGTATTAGAGGAATTTTTCTTTTCTGCTTACGAAGGAATGATGGCATTTTGTGTCCAGGCAGGACTTTGTCAAATAGTTGCAAATTTAATACCTCCTCTGTAAAATGGGGGAAAGCTCACATGAGCTTTATTTATCTTCCCAGAGTTTAATTGCTGTCCATGATCAGCTTATACTCCTTCTCTGCTTTACTATTTTTATTTTACATACACACACACACACAAAAAAAATCTGTCTTTCCATTTGCTGTACACAGTGTTTGGATCTTTTAAACCCCCAGCTTCAGGGGGAGCAGACCACCAGAAAGAGGAGCCTGTGATAAAGCAAGCATCTCCTTTCAGATTGGCCTTGACTCAGTTTAACTGCATAGCCCAGATTTTGAAACAAACCATATGCATTTTGGGGAGGTAGAGGGGGAAAACTCTGCAATTTTGCAACTTGGAAAATAAATAAACGCTATAAATAATTAAAAAAAAAAGGCCATTTGACTAAAGCACTAGTAATGGCTGCCATCAGCATACAAAATGACACATCCCTGAATAATGGGCTGGAGCAGATGGGTGATAATCTCTCTCATTCATACATAAACTGCTCTGTTTTCCAGCTGGGGGCAGTAACAACAATGTTTATAATTAGGGCTTTCTGAACAGGGCACCTAGTGTGGAAAGGCAAATTGGGAGAGCAGGGCTCCTAGGTGTAGATGCTTAATTAGGAAATGCTATAACAGGAGGTACCTCCGAACAAGCACTGCCCTGTGTTTGGTGCTCTTTCATCCCCAAGAAACAAGCAACTGCTGTAGTGACCAACATTTTAGTTCTAAATAAAACCATTTCGATTTAGCAAGTGTTTATTTTTGGTAGTAACTGTGAGCGTAAAAGCAAAGGTCCATTAATTGCCATCCATAGAACAGTTAATTTATCACAGGCCCATGAAAATTAACCTGAATTCACAAAAATGAAAGCAGGTCCCAAGGAAAATGTAACTAACATTACAAAAACTCTCTTTGTTAGTATGAAACTATTCATTTCTCCTCCATTCCTTTGATAATTTTCATCCCCAGTTTCTAGCAGTCTTCTAAAATACCTTTTTAAATGGCACTATTTCCTCCTCCAATCAACCACAGAACCTTTTCCTTTCTCTGCCTAAAAGACTTTCCTATTTAAAGTACCTCAAAGTCCTCATTTTCTGAGCACTCATTCTGCATCCCATTTTATTCCCTTCCAGTAAGACAATATGTGCAAGTGTTTTTAAGTGACATGACTTTTTTGAGATACTGAAATACAACAAACCTTATGTAGAGTAATAGTTGTTATAGTAGGCATGAGGTATGGAAAATCTTACAGTGTTCCTTGAATATGAGGAACAGAAAAAGCACAGGGGCCAAATCAGTAAAACCTTTTGGAACCCAGACTGATACACGTTTTAAAAGCAGCCCACTTAATGCTGTTGCGACATCAGCCCTGCAATCAGAAGTGCAGAAAAGTCCAAAGCATCCTCGGTGGCGAATGAGACCTGGAGGTCCCAGCTAAACCCCCGCAGTCTGCACTGCCCAAAGGCTGGTGAAACCTTTTTTTCCTGCTAGCCAGGAAAGCTAGCCTGGGTGTAGCTGGGTAATGCCTATGGTGCAATCACATCTTCATTCACCCCAAGTTGCCAATGTCAAGTCAAAGACAGCAGAGATACCTGTCTCTGAGCCCAGGTACTAGCTTTGGGATTTCTTTTTTTTCTCCAAAGTCAGCCCATTCTCCGATAGATTTCTTTGTAAAAGGCTTAAAGCCAATGCATTAGTCAATCCAAATGACATCTTCATTGTCCTTCAGAAATATCATAACTGATAGATTTAATTCTTATAAGGAACTTACCTTTAAGATGTTCCTAACTGAGGCTTTTAACAGTTTGTATTACTCAGGTTTTTTGTCCAGAATATTAAGAGTGAAAATATTTCAAGCCTTCTCTTTAGCCCCAGCTCTTGCAGTGTCTGGTCCATAGCCGCCTTCAGCTGCTTTAGCTGTTCCTCCAAATGGCAGCATATTTTGAAGGCAATATTTTGCATAATTTACCAATGCTTTCTTTGACCCTGAATTTCCTTACTGGTTCTGGTTTATGTCTGAATCTTAACATTATTTTAATAACCTGAATTTTCTGTCTTTTCTGGGCTGATTCAGAATATCAAGGGAGCAGCAGACTGAGTGTATATAATATAAAATATTGGCAGAAAATATTAGTATATGTAGTATTATATATAAGATTAATATAAAATGTTAGCCTATGTTATTTTTAATATATCCACAGGCACTATATAAAAACTAAAGGAGTGAAATAAAACCCAGGAAATGTATGGGAAAGTCATTAATGATCTTATCTATGTAATGACAATAGCAAGGAGATGAGTTACATTGGATGCTTAACAAAATCATCAATCCAGTCAATACTGAATGCATAAAATACTGGATTCTTAAAATACAGTTCTCACTGTCACGGTTAAAAAAGTATCTGAATAGCTCATTTGAAAATCTATAGTTCCATTCTCTGTGTTTGGTTCCTAGTTCCCATTACTTTGCATCTGTCAAGTTACTTACACCTGTCCCAAGTGGATAGAATACACTTTCAAGTCAAAAGTTACAGCCAGACGTTTTGACAATGGGCAAAGTAGTTGGGAATCAGCCTCGCTATCTGTAAAGTGCCATTTCTAATACCGTAAAACCCCCTGTAAACTGAATATTGGTAAAAACAGGCAAACATCTAAACTAATTTAAAATCTCTTCTCCTGCTCTTTGACTAAGAAAACCACAACTGATTTTCAAACTATAAATAAAACTCACCCATGCAAACAACTTGGCACTGTCTCTTCCACATGTAATTGAAACCAGCTGAGGAATCGTGTCTCTAAAAAGGGGGGATGTCAAAGAATAAACACAAATTTAAATACAGCAATATGAATTCAGCAGTTATACGTGTAGAATATTTGTCTTTGTATTCGCTCACCAATACAGTACAAAGCATACATCAAATTGATTTGGTTTTCTTTCTTTTTTACTTTCATTTTAGCTAAATTCCATGCCAGAAGTTACATGGTGCGCTAAAGCACTGGCCTTTTGTATTTGGAGGTCTAGGTTCAAATCCACTCGATTAATTTGTCCCCTCGATGTGGTCATTTGCACGTCTCCAAATCACCGTGTAACTTGACTTAGTTATAGCTTGTGCCTTAGGGGCTAAAAATAACATGTGTCTTTCACTCCTGGACTGAGGTGCATTGCTAAGTTTGAAGTACTCTCCAAAAAGTGTCTTGAATCATGAATCAATCACACACGTGTGTGTATATATATATATTATTTTACATATATATATATAAAATGAGAAACCCATGGAAAAAATAAAAAAAGGTCAGACTGAAGGGCTGCCTGGCTCGTGCTACAAGCATTGTTTAATGGTCATTTTTTCTGTATGGAAACAAGTTGTTTTTTCTGGAGGGAAAACCTGCCATTACATATCTCAGCGTATCGAGGTCACTAGCCAGAAGCTTAAGGAAATAGGATAAGATTACCTAGGTGTGAACGTTTAAATATATACATACACATACATGCATATAAAAGAATGCGCTGGAAGAAAAATACCAGTGTTTCAATCCATATGCCCCTGTAATTCCACACACTAAACAAAGCATCGCGAAAATTGCAAACAAATTGCAAATATGCTCCTGCAGAATGAAAGTGAGTGAAGGGAAGGGTTTCTTAGATTAATGCGTGAACAGCTGCATCCCCAGTTCAGTCTCCTGGCTGGTATGAATAATGGATGGGCTAAGAGGCAAAATGCACAATAATGTTCTTTTATTAATGAAATGAATATATATCTATATTTGGTGGCCAGCAGTAAATTAAGACAAGTGAAAAGAAAAACAGTCACTGCTCGCATTCATAAAATGCAGTTACTCCGGTGCAATAATTACTGACTTGACAGAAAATATCACTCCACAGCTAAAATAAGGTGCTTCCCACTGCAAATCCAACATATATATATATATCTCAAAGCAGTTGTAGTTTTTAAATGTCTGTTCATAAACACAGAGTTCACTGTTTTCCAAGAAAAAAGATTTTGTATGGCTCAGGAGTCCTGCAACATCAAGATACACAAATCACGAAGATGACACTCCCTGTGGCAAAATCCTGGGAAAATGCTAACTGCACCTTAGTATATAGGTGACAGAAGCAATGATTTTAAAATAAAGCTCCATTACTTCAAATTAAATGCATTTCCAAAAATGGCTTGTTAACCATTTGGTACTGGGTGTCAGGATTACTAAATGTTGATGCAAAATACATCAGTGCTTAATGAAGTGCTTCAGACCCATCAGCACCAAACTATTAGAGGCAATCCACTTCGCTGCTGCTGCATAAGAAGCTCTACATTTCCTCATATGGATTGTAAGAGGACAGCTGCACATCTTAAATAAGAATGCTATCCTTACATTTTAGTTACCATTACTGTCGTATAGTGCTCAAACTTCTCATTCTCTCACCTCAAGCCAGGAAAAAAAAAAAAGTCAAAATGTGATAATGAAAATCTGGGATTTGCAGCCCTGTGAAGCATAAGTTCACTTCAGATCCTCTTATTATTTATTGAAAGAGTATCTTAAAGTAGAAATTCCCTGGAAATCCATAATGGAGTGGTTCATGCACCGGTGAACCACCCAGCTGAATAGTAGATGAAATAATATATCTGTTAAACCAAAGCAATGCATATAAGAGGCCTTTGTTACAAAAACAGTGATAATAATGAAAAAGCTGATTTTTGGAATACGCCCACATGCACAAGAGGGTACAGTAGGTGAAAAATCCACTTACAAAACACATGCAGTTATTACTCAAATGTATCTTACCATTTTCCCTCCATTGCAAGGCATTAATCCGTCATACTTTGAAAGTCTTCAGAGGTAAAAATTAACCGTGACCTCATTAAATGAAACCTGGCATTTGTGCAGAATGCAGGGTGGCCGTACTGCCTGGTAGTGTAATAGGCACTGGAAGTCCAAAACGTCATCATTAAGGTTGGGCAGAATAAAGCCGATCTTCCATGTTCTGTAGGGCTTATGAGCCTGTGGCCAGAACTGACCCATTTTGTGGTTCTGACATGTTAAACACTAAATGTTAGAATATGATTCGTGTATTTTTGCTTTCAGTAGGTAAATGTTCCCTTCTTTGGCTCTCTGTGACTTTATACATTTTTATTCGATACCCTCTCTGGGTGAGAAAAGTTCTGAATGTCTCTCAGCCCAGGAGAGTAGCCGCAACGATGTCTCTCAGTCTACAAGCATGCCTTTATAAAGACCAAATTCAAGGGAGACTTGGGATGAAAATGTAAAGAAAAACAGAGTCTCAAAATATGTCAGGAAGTTTCTGAAGGGTTAGGAAGCCAGAAATGTTTGGTCCTACAAACTGCAGCATAAAGTGCTGGATTAGGTGAGATGATCAGGATTTTTTGCTTAACATTTTTGATTAACGAGGCAGGAAGTGCCTTGATGTCTATTTGGACAAACATATTTAAACAAAGGCCCCGAAAGCTTCCCCCAAAACTGTAGAAAAGTAGTTATCTTGGGTTTTATTTTTTAAAGACATCTTTAAAATGATGTCCTGATATTTAATTATCTAGCTAGTTTTGCAACTTTGTAATTTTGTCCTTTAAAAAAAGCAATATCCTAGACTAAATTTCAAAAAGAATCTTTCATTCAAGAATAATCACTTCTATGTTATTTGCCTAATTTTAAATATCTTCAATTTTTACATATACATATACCATTCTCATGTGGCAGATTTTAAAAATAAATTTTGAATTTAATACAAATATTTTTATTTATTCAACCAGAAATGTTTAACTTTCTCAGAGGAGAGTATCTGTTACCACAGGATGATGTGATGTGGTTTAAACTTTAAATAAATGCTTATTTCCTGTAAGCATAAAAAAATCTTTTAAATGGAAATCTGTATTTTATAGAATGGTAATATATGCCATTCTTTTCAATTTTCACACAGAATTACATACTGTATGCAGTATATTCACTGTGTGTAAAAGATCTAGGTATTCTTCTGTTTCACATTAAAAAATAATCAAAAACTGAATTGGTTCAAGGCTAAGAAACGTAGAAGGCATTGAAAATACTAATTAGAGCTCTTAACCAAAAGATTAGCAGTAAACAAAGAAATTCTCAGCAGATGAGGTGTGTTGGATTTTGTAGCAATTATTATTTAAAATACGGGGATGAACTTATCAAAGTTAATTATTTTACTCCTTTAAGGTAGTGCTGTGTAGGTTCTAGACACAGAAATAATAGTTCAGCAATTTAGCCTAACTAAATCCATTTGCTATAGTAGCTCTGTACTCTTGTCCATCTTTCTGTCTCTATTACATCATTATTGAATGCTGATTGCATTATTTTAGAGCAGGGATTGCTGTAATGCTATTCTGCACCGGTATGATGGATTTAGTTTTCATTTTGTTCTCAAAAATATGCTGGCTATAAATACATCTCTGCTCTCCTATGGGGCTCACACTATAACTGGTAAATTTTCCAGAGAAATCAGTCATGTGTATCTCAAGAGAAAACAATAAATCCTTTGAAGCCGAATAACCTTTTGGCTGCATCCTTTTAAATGGAGATTTTCATACTAGGGACAAATTTTACAAGCCTTAGCAGATAAACCTATTCAGTTCTCAAAGTTATCTTTGCCTCCAGTGCCATGATCAGATATTTGTTTGCATTTTGTATGTCATCTTCCTAGCCACCTGCCCTTTCCCATTTTGCTTTTTCCAAAAAAATTAAGGGCCATGTTTTAAGAAGGCAGGCCCTGCTTCAGAAGGCAGTTAACTATGTGTCAAAGTGCTCTTGCTGAATCAAGGCCATCCTGTTGAACTTGTAATTTTACAGCAATTTCAGGGACTGCAGTCTAATACCCTGTAATCAAGAAACCAGCGAAACCCAGTCCCATGCTTGAAATCATTGGCCAGACTTGGGCTGCCCTTACCTGGATTGCAGTTTCCCCTTGTAAATGCGCCAGACACAGCAGAAGAAGAGGTGTGGCTAGAAGTCACAGCCATCTTATTAAGACTTGTATTCTCCACAGCGGCAGATACTGAGCAAAATATAAAGCCCACCAAGTAAATGTTCTTCCCCTCCCCATTTTTAGATACTTTAAGTAGACCCAGGTAAAACTAGTGGAGTATTTAATTCCAGAGACCTTGGTTAACAGGAAGATTAACAGGGTGGTCAGGCTAAACAGTCTTTCTGTCAGAGCTCTTCAGCGTTCTCCCTAAGAACATCCACTGAGCAGCATGAGGAGGTGTCAAAGAGCTGGGCTAGCTCCCTTCGGTGTTTGCTTTTCTCTCTTGTCTGACAACTTCATCACAATCCATCTTTGTTAGCCGATTGCACTGACTTGAACATGGGTGAGTGTGTATTAGCCTTCATTAGGTCAAATCAAAGACAAGCGTACATATCTGCTTTGCCTGTAGAAACAGATACATACTTTGAGAAGGGTGGGGGGAAGGTCAGTTGGTATTTGGCTTGAAATTTGAATCTATTAAAGGATGAAATTAATAGCATCCAGAAGTAGAACATATGGCATCCATATATATGGTACTGTATCTGCTTGATGATGTCACACTACCTCTTAAGGTTTGGGAAATGCACTTTTTAAAGCGTTTAGCTATGTTGTGGGCTCAATCTTTCAGACCTGACTGAGTCAGAACAGGTTTAATTTGGTCTGAACATTTATTACCCGTGGTATTTGCAGGCCACATAAAACCTCATGGTTTTCATTAGCTTTGCATTTCACACACAGCCTAATTTCATTTATTCTTATTTTATGCCCCTGCCAGACCACCGCTCTTGATAAGGAGAGGCAGGTTTTCCGACGAAGACGCAACCAGGATGTGAGGGGACGATATAAGGCACAGCAAGCTCCACCTGAACTCAACTCCGAATCGGAAGACTATTCACCAAGTTCATCCGAGACTGTTCGCTCACCTAACTCACCCTTTTAATAAAACACTTTTACTCAAAAGTCTTGGCTTTAACCCTTTGAGACCCTGAAAATCCTTCAGACCTGTGTGAAGTGATTACAACTGATCTACCCAGCAGTAGACGCTGGGATGGTGGAACACAAAAGGGTGCTCACAGAATCTTTGTAAGAATAATTTCCTAATTGATTGAAATACCTGTCCTCTCTTTAGATTGCAACTTGCTGCTAATATGATCCTCAAAGGGTTAAGGCTATTTTGCTTTTTTATTTAAAGATAGAAGCAGTGAATGTTTTCATCAGTGAAGCTAGGAACTGCAGTATGTAATTTTAGCACATGTTAACCCTCTGAGTAAATGATCAATTTAAATCTCGACAACCCACACTAGGGCTTTATTCTGGCTTTTTTGCTTTTATACGCACATATCTTTTATAGTACGCTAAAGTTCCTTGCCTGTTTCTGGCCAAAACAATATCAAACGCACTGTTGCGTAGGGGTTACAAATATATGCTTTAAAAATGAAAATAAAATTAAACAAACAGTATCTACAGCAGCTCATTCTAAACCTGCATCATACTTCCACAGGGACCTACCATTATTGGAGTATATTATGCAGGCTAAATGGGAAATTCCGTTTAGGGCAGCCTCATAGTTTACAGAAGATGACATGATGATGGCCGCAAAAGGTTGCTTCCATATCGTTTGCTGCTAATGACAATGCTGAGTCTTGGGAAATGGCTTGAGGACATGTTCTGTCATGTAATGGTATGTAAAGATCTAGTTGAGAAGTTCCTGGTTCCTTTGCCTCACATTCAGAAATGTACAGGCATCCTCTCAGCATGACCTGGTTATTCCAGGAGAGCCACTTTTAAAGATTAACATTGATGAGAATTACCCTTAAAATAGCTAGAGTGCTTCGAAATCGGGGAAAATACAAGTCATTTAATATATATGTAAAGCTTAAGCTGAATTAGCAAAAGTTTTGTCTTAGAATGGAGAAACTAAAAATGATTCACCAGTTCTATTTGTAATATTTAATAAAATGGGCATTTACACAGAGTATACATATTTCTGGTTGGTTAAAACCTCAATACAGCATTATAGCATTTTATTTAACCATTATCCTAAAGCTGGCTTCCACAGAAATATTACACTTCGTAGACTTTTGCTTCAGATGTGATAATTTGAAAGAAAAATTCTTTATGAAATTATAAAAACTTGGAATTTCACTTGAATGAAAAAAGCAACTTCGAAAATCCTAAAGTAAAAACATTGTGAAATTTATACTTTATCTTACTACTCATACAAAATGGAAGTTTTGTCCTCTAAAGTTAAAATTTTCTCACTGCTTTTAAAAAGTTACAGAAATGTGTTTTCCTCTGTCTCTCTCCTTGCCCTTTTTCTCTCTTTCTTTCTTCCTTTTTCTTTCATATCATACAGCTAGAAATATCAATATGCTGCCCCAAAAGATATGCAGACTTTTCTGATCTTGCTGAGAAGTATAAATAAATTTTGGAGGAACAAGGCAAGTTGCCCACAGTGCCATTTCCATTCTGAGTTGTGTTTGCTCATGGAACTGTGCCTATGAGCCGTTGCGGCAGTGACTGTGTTGGAGCTTGGAGCTAGTGTAATGCTCTTTTGCATTTCTAGTTGGAATTATCAGTTGAACCATATTTCAAGAAACATTGAATTTCTTTTGTTTCTCCGTCCTTTAAAGTGCATCTTCCATTGCCTCCGTCATGAAAATTTATATATTAAAAACTCGGAAGATTTTAAATACAGGAATTTAATCTTATGAATCTTCACACAAGTGGTACAAGTATTTAATACAGAATGCTTTCAAATTCACCCAATGTTAATAATCTAGAAGGGAGACATTTAGTCAAAACTAGATCTCCAGACTTCCTTGGTAATACAGAGAGATGAGTATTTCCAGGTTTGATTCATCTCACCTGTCACAGGCATGCGTTTTAGGCAGGACTCATGCTTTGATTCACCTGTGGCTCTCACTCCATTGACGGTAGAAGAAACTGCTGGTGGAAGCTTACATCAGACATCAAACTTCAGATTATCAGTTTAGTAGGATGAATTTCACCCTAAGTCATCAGGAGACTCTGATCTCTGAACGTATATACATGGGCCGAAGTCCTGTGCATGGCCTCAGTTACTTTGGAACCTGAGTAACAACATCTTAACCTAAGTGAAGCAAATGGGTGTCTTGTTGGACAACTCCACAGGGGTAAGATTTGAAGAGATAAAGGAACTGCCATGCAGAAGTTCTCAGATTTTAGGGTTTGTGTCTGTGGCTGATACTTGATCGTGCCCATTCAACCCTAGCATCACTGCAGAGAGAACACCCTTGGTAGAGAGCACACAGCCACTGCCATTGTGATGTTAATGGCTGTGGTTTGATAACGTTTGGATAGGACAGGGAATTCTTTTTCCATAGGATCAAACCCTCAGCCAAGGTAAAGCCTCCCTTGCCACTTACCTACATCAATTTACAGTAGGTCAGGATCTGGCACATGTTTTTCCATCATTGCCTTTCTCAAATTATATCACAGCCTTCCCTTTAGAATAGATACAACTGAGCCATGTAAATGCAAGACATACATTTGGTAATAAAAAAGTGTCCATTAATACCACATGCTCCTTGACTATTGGGAAAATTTCGTTATCTCAAAGCAAAGGCTGATGTTCATTGTTCTTAAGTAGAAAGAGAAGTCACAAGAAAAAAATTAAAATAAAAATATGCTTCATCTTATGCATAAGAAATGTTATTCAGAAAACCCCTCCAGGATTTTCCTATCACCTTTGCTTTGCTTTGCTTTGGAATACAGGGTTATCATTAAAATAAGATGTTTGGCTCCTTCATTTTACACCATCTTGTACTACTTAAAATGTATGTAAAAATAATCCTAGATCCTGAAAACCCTACTCATGCCCAATGTCTTATATGTTTCTGATCTTTGGTTCATGTTTTATGAACATAACTATAAAAATTTTTTTTAAAGTTATTTTTAGGTCTGTGAGAGACTGGGTTTCAAATTGCTGATAGCGTCTTTTTAGGCTTCAAGGAAAAGTATCTGAATATTTAAACTGTTTTAAAAGAATTTGCAATGATGGTTTTAAATATATCCATATATCCATATATATTTTTAAATATAACCATACATATGTATATATATGTATGGTTTCATGGAAATAATAATGGTTCAGGCTTCTTTGGCAGCGACTGCCCTTTTTCTTGTCTAACCTCTGAATTCCTGGGGGTAAGTGAAGACAGAATATGTGGCCCTAAAAATACTTGAAACACCAGTGAAAAAAAGAAATCAAAGATAACAGACTATTTCTAATGTGATAATCTGGGAGAGCACATAGCACACTGTGGTCATTTTACCGTAATACATACCAGTCCTCCTGACTTCTTTCTTCATTTCCCTTTTGAATCATTGCATCGTATTGGTGCTAAATGTGACAAAAAATTTTTTTAAATGCTTATTACATATACAAGGCCAACTTCCTCCCACGAAGTCTGTGTAGTTAGCTGAGACGGATGGCAGTCATGGTAGGCACCGTCTATCAATCACCAAGGAGATGGAGAGGAGCACTTCTGGAGGGTGACTCTGGTCATCTAATATTTGATCTCTGGAGATGCCGGACAGTCTGATCTTAGTAATAACAGGAGAGTAGAACAGGGTCACTTCCAGCTTAATTCCTCTCAATTAAGTGTAAGTGGGGATATCGTGGACTCCAATCTAAGTGCAATATTCTAATAAGCTTACATGCGGTAAGCAAACTTTGATGTGAAAATGTAGTACTGATAGGTGATAGCACAGGATTAGTTAAATGGTACTGATCTGGGCATTTTCTCATCTAGATGTATCCATCTAAGTGTTAAGCATCTAATCTAGGGCAATCATCTAAACTTCCCTTATAGTTGCTAGAGACTGGCTTCTCTAGTGGATAGTTAAAATTCTAGGATGGATGAATCGCTCACTAGATGAGGTGCCAAGCCCAAATATATTTAGAACATGATTTATTAAGTCATGACATATAAATTAATATTTCTGTAAGTTACAATTTTCATAGCATTAATGCACAAAAAATCCAGAATATTATGGTTCTACTCAGAGGGTTAACAGAAAAGCACTAGGCATGCTGATTACATTGGTGTATCCAAACTGCTTTGCTTTTTTAGCCAGTGTTTGCTGATTTTTTCAGAAAATTCTTGAAAAATTTCAAGTTTGAAATAATTTAAGTGTTGTTGTTTAAGGAATTTCTATAACCAAATTAATCTTATTTTTAGCTTAACTTATCACAAGAATAATATGTATCATTGATGCAGTGTAAGTCTGTAGTTATCAATTTTATTAATTCCACAAGTGAGTCCAGAAATCTCTCTTTTTTTAAGTACTTACTATAGAGCTTACAATGGTGGCATAGGTGACTGAGACTGTCTTTCTTATTGGTAAAAAACACAATATTGTAATTTCAAGAAAGTCCTAAGAATCAGATTTTCAGTTTGGTAGTGTACTAGTTAGGGGAAAGCTATCTCATGACATGCATTGTGTAAATCATCTTTGTAGATGAAGATTGTTCATATTAATGAACACATTCTTTTTCCTTGACATTGTAGCAAAAACTGTTTACTTGTTAATGAACAACCAATACATTAATTTGCTTCAGACTGTTAGAGGGGAAAGTGAGATTCCAGTCATTGACAATGTTATTGCTTTACAGTAGCCCTCATCTAATTTAAATGTGGTGCATACTACAATAAGCAAAGCCAAACCTGTGAATAAACTCCTGAAAAAGCCTGGTGGGTCTTTATTCAGTTGGGTGCTTGCATACAGTAGCGTGTGACAGCAGGAAGGCTTTCAAGAATTGTCGGAATGAAAGCGATATATCCACAAATAAGGGCTAAATTGCAGTCCTTTCCCTATGGGGCATATATGTTTAAAAAGAAAAAAGAGAAAAGAAAAGAAAAATTGGCTCAGAGGTTTGCAGTGCTACTATATTACCACAGGGCAGGTACATTAAATCATTGTTATTTGCTAGCCTGGGGTATATGTTAGAAAATGGCATCTTTTTTATTTAGTTTAGATTGTGGGCAGGGAGATCTTTCCTAATATTATTGCAGTGCCTGCTAGTGCTGCCATGGTTAAGGCTGTGTTAGTATTTCCATTATAAACTCTTAGTCTCAAAGGTTTTTAATTTGATCATAAAAATTTGCTTCAGGCAGAAACTTGGCATACAATTTTTCAGCTCAGAGTGATTCTTTTCCTAAAATATGAGGGAAATCAACTTGACCCCTTCGACACTTACTTTCTAACCGTACAAATTCACACACAGAAGACACAAATGGGAGCGGCTTCCACAAAGGTGGGTTTTATGCAGCTCATTTCAGGTGTATGACATTTTCAGGCGTATCTTGCAGGTCTTAACTACAAAGGTGACAGCTCAGAACTTTTGGGCAATTTGAAAAGCAGGGACAAAAGTCAGTGATCGAGAGCAAAAATGTTCCACATGTGGGAGA